AACGGAAACATGGCTCTCTCCACAGTCGTCTTTCACGGTCCCTGGATATGACTGTTTTCGCCGAGATCGTCCGCCAGATGAAAACAGGTCAGCTACCGATGCCACCCATGCATATGGCGGCGTCTGTATCATGGTACGGTCTGGGATGTTTCCAAAGGTCACCCATCGATCTGACCTCAGTATCCCTCTCCTGGAAGCCACATGGGTGGAAATAGCCCTGTCATCTGCTAACATACATTTCCCAGAGGCGCCTCATGTGAAGAAGTTGGTTATTGGTGCAGTATATCGACCCCCAGCCCTTACTCCATCAAGTATCAACACCGTCTGCAATTCCCTCCAGCACTGTCTAAGTACTCTTAAGAACCGAACAAAATCTATCATGTTGATGGGAGACTTTAATGCTAAGTCATGTCATTGGCATGGAACTACCACGGATGCCGCTGGTCGCCAGCTTCACAGTCTATTCGGCATGTTCTCTCTCACGCAGCTCGTAAATTTTCCAACACATGAGTCATTGTCTGGCATGGGGGCAGCTCTCGACCTAGTTGTCACTGATATACCGGACTCTATATCCTGCCTCCGTGCTACAGCACCACTTGGTCAATCCGATCATTCTATCGTGGTTGGCCACATCCGTACTGTACCCTGCCCAGAAATGCCCACATACCGTTCTCGTGATGCCCGCTCGACTCCCCTGGATGTCCCTGATTTTAGTGTATTTTCTTTGGATTCTCTAGACAGGAACACTGTCGCGAGTATGAATACTGCCATGTCCCACTTACATTGGCCAGCAGCTTTGAGCCTGGAGAGGCGCGACCCTGACATATCTGTGGACAACTTTTACTCTATCTTCCATAACATCTGTGCAAGATTTCTGCCCAGGCAGAAGCCGCCGGCTGTCAAGCGTATCCATATGAACCCCCCCTGGCTGACCAGTACCCTCCGACATCAAATAAAGAAAAAACGAGATTCGTATAGTGTTTACCGAAAGTTTCCCTCGGCTGACAACTTCGCTATTTACAGACGAGAGCGAAACGTTACTCGCAATATGTCTCGAACTGCCCATCGACTGTACATCTCATCCCTAAGTGCATCCACGGCAAGACCCGCATCACCAAGTTTATTCCAGTTTGTCCGGAAGCTTCGATCTCCCCAAGGCAACAGCAGAACGACTGTAACTCAGCTCTCAGTCGCTGGTACTCTATATTCTGACCCTGTGGATGTGGCAGATGCTTTGAACGAACAGTTTATTGGTTTTGGAACACAAGATGATCCTTCATGGAATGTGCCAGACTTCAAGCCACCCGACGCCCCATCACGTGGAAGAACTACACCTACGTTGCAAGATGTCACCACCACGCCTTCTGCTGTGGCAAAGCAAATCCGCAACCTTAAGACCCGAAAGGCTGCGGGAGCGGACGGTATTTCTCATGAACTCCTGAAACTATTTTGTTCCAGTATTGCATACCCTCTCAGCCTCATCTTTAACCTCACTTTTGCAACTGGTGCTTTCCCTGCTATTTGGAAACACGCAATTGTAACTCCGGTCTTTAAGAACAAGGGAAGTAAGCTCGATGCATCGAATTACCGCCCGATTTCGTTATTGTCAACAATCTCCAAGCTGTGTGAACGTATTATGTACAACCACTTATACACTTACCTGTCTCCTGTTCTACATCCGTCCCAGTCTGGATTCCGAAAAGGCGACTCTACGTCCTGGCAGCTTCTCAGACTTGTTCAATCGATGTCTTCTGTTCGTGAGAACGGCCATTACAGCATGCTATGTTTCTTTGATCTAAGCAAGGCCTTCGACACCGTATGGACACGCGGGCTCCTATACAAGCTGTCGCGCCATGGAATCCATGGTACTTGCTTCACGTGGCTCAGTACTTACCTGACGGGCAGACAGCAAAGGGTGCGTGTCGGCTCTGCTCTGTCTGCCAAAGGGCATGTACGGTCTGGAGTTCCTCAGGGATCAATCCTGGGGCCTCTCCTCTTCCTTATGTATGTAAACGATCTGGCAGAAATGGATCACACATCACTATATGCTGATGATACAGCACTACTTGTGACAGCACCCACTCTCCCCGAGGCTAGTGCCAAGTTACAGTCTAACATAGATGGCGTTATTCATTGGATGGAAAAATGGAAATTGCAACCCAACTCTTCGAAAACTGCTGTAATGTGTATCCCCCCCAGTTGTTCCTGTGACCTATCTTCATTAGTAACCAGTCCCTTCACCTTTCCAGGCACCACAACCCCGCTCTGCATCGTTGAAAAACACAAGCATCTTGGCGTCATTATTGACCAACACTTAACCTGGAAATCCCAGATCGAAAATTTAGACAGCCGTGTTAGCTCAGTAATGGGATTTCTCTCATCACACATCACCCACCTGCACACCGACTGTCGCCATGTTATCTACACATCTTACATTCTGCCTATTTTTGATTACTGCTGCATAATTTGGGCTGGCATTTCTAAAACACTGATTGCACGACTCGAAGTTATGCATAGGCGTCTTTTGAAAATATTATTTCGGCTTCCTCGCCTGACTCCAAGCGCAGACTTATACCGCCTTGCTTCTGCTGTGCCGCTCTCGGTCCGCGTGCGTTTTTTGGCATGCCAGACAATTCATAAAATTAAGCTGGGCATTGCTCCTCTTCATGCTCTCTCCTGCCTAAGCTGGTTTGCTCAATCTCAAGACATGCGCACCAGAAACTCTCTCCGCTTCCCTATTGCGCGGTCTGCCTCTATGCAAACATCTCCTCTCTTCCTTGCTTACCGCCATTGGTCTCTCCTCCCACAACATCTAAAATCCTGCCAATGTTACAATACATTCACACAGCTACTGCAGAATGCAACATACTAGTTGATATCCAGCCCTGCCCTAGCTTCTTTTGCTTTTCAGTTCCCCTTTCATTCTTTTTCTTTCCCCCCCTCTAGCTGTATTACCGCCATGGCTGGCTATCGCCCACATCACCATTTCATTGGCTAGTGCCACGTGATTGTGAATAAATAATAATAATAATAAAAAGCTGCACTCCCCAGGTAAAGGTCATGCTGCCACCAACCAAGCCCCCTGCCGTAGCTAGCATGTGCACAGGGCAAAAACGTCAGACGCACCATGCCTTTCAGCTGAAGTGGACACCCCCTCGCACAGCCCCTGACTACCTCCTGCGACCCTTCCCCTTCTTCGCCATCACACCCTGGAACAACCTGCCTGCGGACCTCCTGCTTCACGAGCCTCATTCAAGACGCCTCCAAACCTTCAAGGTCAACGTATGTAAGGATCTAATACGAAAGAGATGGCTGTGGTCCACACAGTACCTGTGACGATGATATTGAGATTTGAGACCCATTTAGTATTCACCTCTCTACTACTACTTGCTTGTTATGATTATTGTTCTCTTTCTTCATTTTCCCTTCTGGTTTAGTCATTACACGTATTTATATTATTTGGTGCAATACTAGCGCCCCTTTCTCGCACCAAATTATTATTTTTGCTACCTGCCCATGCACCCCCCCTTTTTGATGCCAGGTTGCAACGCTAACGCCGAGACCCCTGGTCGGTCGAGTTGCTCCCTGTACATCGGCACGTCGTCCCTACATCCCTGTGTCTTGTCTTGTGTTTGTCTCCACATGTCTCTTTGTAGGGCTGTGTTCCCAATAAAAAATAAAAAAATTAAAAAGGAGATGCTCTCATACCAAGCCACCATTGTTGCTGCCAACAGGCAATACTATCCGGAAGCTTGGCTGTCGTATGACACCCAGTTTCGCTCTGCCATTTCTGCTCAGCCAGGCAAGCGCTTTGACGTCATTGACATCAATCTGTGGCAAATGTCCGTGATTAGCCGATCAAGGCCCACGTGTGAGTCCTGCCACCTCGTCCATCCCGGAGGCGGCCAGTGTCCCTTTCGTCCCCACCGTAACAACCAGCAAGCCGTCAATGGAATCCGTGCGTTGTCTAATGGCCAACCGATCTGCCGCAACTTCAACGCTCGGCGTTGCAGTCTCAGCACGTGCAAGTACGCCCATGTCTGCAACCGCTGCGGGTCCAAGGACCACAACGGATCTAAGAGCGATAGGCGGCAGTAACTCTGCTGCTTTGGCTGCAGCTCCCGCGATTGTACATATTTCTCCCTGCACTTCACGTTCTACTGATTTCACAAGCGCATGTCCTACTGTCCACACACCCCTCTCTGTTTCTCGCTTCGAATCACTGCTCCGTAACCACCCTGACAGTTCTTTGGCTGCGTATGTTATTAACCCTTTCCATGCCAGCATGTTTTCCCGTGTTGGCCATGCATTGTTCAGGCGCTGAGCTCAACTGTTCAAAGCTGCACGCGCACCTCAGAACGAAATTTGTTGCTATTTCACTATACCTTGATGGATTTTCACGATCCATGGCTTGTTGGAAAGATCTGGACAACAGGAAGCCATTACAGGGACTCACAGCGCGACAAGCATACCAGGGCCACTTCCATCTCCTCTCAAAGTCCCCCTACCATGCCTGAAAGTAACAAAACGACTGCCTCTCATGTTTTCTTTCGTCTTCTTGCTCATTGTGAACTGATTTTCACGATTCAAACTGCGTTGGAAAGCTGAGATTCAAGCGCGTTTGTTGCAGCTGACTGCGCACGCGCTGTGTTTAGGGGAAATCCCCTAGCCCGCACGAAGTCGCGAACAAAAAATTTGAATCGATCGCCAAAAAATGAAATTTGAGCATTCTGGCCGTTCAATTTATCGCCGCTCGGTCATACCTTGTCGTATCGCGAAGAACTTTATATCCCTGGAAAGCTGAGCTCAAGACCTTTCCAGCGGTGTCTCAAACGTAGCAGTCCGAGATATTTGGACGGAGTTATGATAGTTTGTACACTCGTCCATAGCGCGCGATACACATGTACTGTACAGTGTACATTGTACAGTGTAGGCAGAACGCGTAAACGCGTCAGTGGCCAATCGGTTCATACTAAAAAACGCGTATACGCGTCCATGGCATGGAAAGGGTTAACGGCCTCCGCTGTGGCTTTGACATTGGCTTTACCGGCAACCGCATAACTAACCAGCACTCGTCCAACCTCTCATCAGCATTCCAGCACTCTACATTTGTGTCTCCACAGCTCACCGCCTCCTGCAACGCCGGCTACACGGCTGGCCCATTTGATTCGCCCCCATTCCCATTTATGTACTGCTCTGGCATTGGCGCCGTTCCGAAAAATAATGGCAAGCTACGCTTGATACACCACCTGTCCAGCCCTGCCGGCTCCAGCCTTAACGACGGGATCCATGCTGAGCCTTTCTCTTTGCAGTACATCAGCATTGATGAAGCCATTATTATCATGATGTCCTCCCCGTCTCCTGTTTATCTCTCTAAACTCGATGTGAAGAGCGCTTTTCGTCAAATACCTGTCCGCCCACAGGATTGGCATCTTCTCGGCATCCTGTGGCAGGGGAAGTACTACTACGACCGTGTCTTGCCATTTGGGCTCCGCTCTAGCCCGGCGGTGTTTGATGCCGTGGCAGCCACCATCGAATGGATAATGCACCACGAATTCTCCATCCCTAATTTGCCGCATTTCCTGGACGACTACTTGTGCGTGAGCGTGGGCCAGGCAGTGGCGAATCGGCAGCTGGCCATTCTTCTCCGTGCATTCTCATACCTCGGAGTCCCGCTCGCGCCTGCGAAGGTGGAAGGCCCGTCTCGTACCCTGACATTCCTGGGCATTATCCTGGATTGTGAGAAGATGGAAGCCCGGCTCCCTGATGACAAATTGGCTGACATCAAGTGCCTGTTGACTGCAGCGAGCATCAACTCCACCATGTCTCAACGCGAACTCGAATCTCTTCTGGGGTAACTCTCGTTCGCTGCAAGAGTCATCGTACCCGGCCGGACATTTATGCGGCGCCTGTGGTCTATTTGCAGTCGCTACCAGCAGCCTCACTACCGCATCAGTCTGACTACCGAGTGCCAGGAAGATATCCAATGGTGGCTACGGCTCCTGGAACAATGGAACCGGAAATCATTCCTCCTGTTCCCAGATTGGACGCCATCTCCAGACTTGGAGCGGTGCACTGATGCCAGTGGCACCCTGGGCTGGGGCGCATTCAACAGCGGCCGCTGGCTTCAAGGGACCTGGTCGCCTGAGCAACTCGCTCACTGCATTGAGTGAAAGGAGCTCTACGCGTTGGTCACAGCGTGCTGCACGTGGGGCAAGGAATGGCGCCAGCTTCGTTTCACAATGCACTGTGACAAAAAGGCGGTGGTAGATTGCATCCGCTCCGGCACATCCAAGTCACCGCCAGTGATGACCCTGATCAGGGAGCAGTTCTTTGTGTGCGCCCGCTTCAATTTCACCGTCGCGGCTGTTCACATTGCTGGCCAGTCGAACTACATTGCCGATTCGCTGTCTCGTTTCCGCATGGAGGAATTTCGGCGTCTCGCCCCGGCTGCTCAAGCACAACCAGACCGAGCAGTGCTGCCATTCCAGCCGATGTAATATAGCCTTGACATACAGGTACCGATTGTCATTGCTAAATTGCCGTATTGAGAACCTGCGTTGGATTTCATCCATCTGCATGCCTACCTTTATCTATCTCGTGCCTTAATCACTTGTTCTTAGCACTCGTGCATTGGTGGTGAACGCTTGCTGGGGTGCCGTGTGCTGGTTTTCTGGGAACAGCTTCCTTCAACTGGCTGCTTTGCTGCTACTATCTCTGCTTAAAATGGCATACTATAAGTCGGCTGTTTGCGACGCCAATCAGTAGTCATTGCACCCGGTCGCGGGTACTATTGCCGCTCAAGCACGAGCGATTGCTTTGGCCGTTTGCAACGCCAATTGCTTCACCCTGGTTGGCTGTTTGCAACGTCGATCAGGGAACTTTGCACCCGGTCGCGGGTACTGCTGCGGCTCAGTCGTGAGCCATCACTTTGGCTGTTTGCAACGCCAATCGCTTCACCAGTTGATCGAAACCAGCACACTGGTGTACCCCACTCATCCTTGTGCGGTGTTGTGAGAATACGTGGGTATGCATGCAGCTTTGCTCTGTGACTTTCCATTGCATGTAGTCACTTGGCTCTCCCATTTCCTATACACTGCTCTGATGCATTCGGGTGCAAGCGCTAAATGTTGGGTTAGCTTTTGGGCTAACCCTAGTTAGCGATAAGACCGATGCGCTGCTCTCTATCTCGTGCTAGCTGCGACTGAGCTGGCTTTACACGTGCACTCAACTGCTGCGCATGCGCGCCCAAATCGCCTTGGGTAGCTCTTGCTGTGCTGACTTTGGCTTGCGCTTTCCTTTGCAGTGTCACTGAGCAGCAACCGAAATTTGTTTGCCACCCACCCTCCCATTCCCACATTACATAGGTGGGAACAGCTTCCTTCAACTGGTTGCTTTGCTGCTACTATCTCTGCTTAAAATTGCATACTATTGGTCGGCTGTTTGTGACGCCAATCAGTAGTCATTACACCCGGTCGCTGGTGCTATTGCCGCTCAAACATGAGCGATTGCTTTGGCCGTTTGCAACGCCAATTGCTTCACCCTGGTTGGCTGTTTGCAACGTCGATCAGGGAACTTTGCAACCGGTCGCGGGTACTGCTGCGGCTCAGTCGTGAGCGATCACTTTGGCTGTTTGCAACGCCAATCGCTTCACCAGTTGATCGAAACCAGCACACTGGTGTACCCCACTCATCCTTGTGCGGTGTTGTGAGAATACGTGGGTATGCATGCAGCTTTGCTCTGTGACTTTCCATTGCATGTAGTCACTTGGCTACTACGATTCACCGATACGACAACGAGAGCTGAGATTTTGATCCTGAACTACGGGGGGAGGGTTTGAGGGGAGGGAGGGGATTATACTAATCAAGAGAGAGAGGGAGCTTGGTGTTTTCGCTGTCTCTTAGAGATTGGGGCATAACTTGAGAAAGAGTGAACTATCCAAGAGATGGCTGTATTTGCGCGAGTACAGTATAATATTATTATGGAGATGTCTGTTGTACTCACCACTATAAATAACACGCGATCAAAATCCCGTTTCAGGGAGGTCAAAGAGTGTAAGGCAGTAGTTCTTAAAGTGTTGAGTGCGGAAAAGTTCTTCTTCTGAATGCATAATCCTGGGTTACGCAAACTAGGGACTCCACCATTGAGTGTACAAGCACAAGTAGCATACACCAAAACACAATACTTGTATACATCACAGTACCTTGGGTTTCTCACAAATTAATTAAATACTTCCCGGGATCCACAATAATATCGGGATCTGTACAATGTTCGCAATCAACAGAACCCTCCCTCTCCACCCCTACGCTCACCACCATCATCATCCAATCTTGTTCCATCCTTCATTTCGCTCCTTTTTCTGTTTACACTGCTCCCATATACATATACTTGTGCTTGCTTCTGCGTAATTTGTAATTCTGTGTAGTGGAATGGGATGCCTGTCCTCTAACCAGTGCTCCCACGTGGCAAGTCGATTGGACCTTTCAATGTGAACGGAAAACTTGGACAGAAGCAAAAGCAGAATGTCAATCATATGGCGGATCACTAGCGACTGTGCACACAATGGCTCAGGTGACGTGTGCAAACCTGACAGTGACGGGAACTACCGCTGTGTGGGTAGGCTTGACTGGTACATGGACAGCTGGAGATTGGAGTGCTTGGAAATGGGAAGTGGCATCGTCCACCCGTACAACGAGACTTCCCTGGTCATCGCAGTATACATTTCCGGTTAAAAATTCTAGTTATACTTACGGGTATTTGGATCCAAACAAGGGCTTAGGGAACTGGATAAACAACCTACAAGGTAGATGCCTCTGTCAACGATATGTGCCTAAAGGTAGGTCTATATCAATTGATTAAACTGAAGGAATATATTTACTAATCTAGATCGGTACGGGCCACTCCTCTGATTAAATTAGACATTCCATTTACTCTTTAAACCACAAGTCCCAAAAATGAAGACCGCGGATATAACTAAATATATTTGAAAGAGAAAAAGGGCACGGGATAGTGTTCTTCGGTGTTGGCGAATGGTAGGTTTCCGAATGTAACGATGTGGCAATTTAATATACCATTTCACTCGTACCTGAAAGCAAAGCTTCACTGTACTTGCGTCTAAACTAATGATGCATGTAAGATCAGAGCGCTCTATATATGTTCATGAATGCAAACCCTTAGTAGACAAGACTGCTCGACATATGACTCATGCTTATATGCATGTACAAAAAGGCCAATATAGGCTGCTCCAGGTGGAGAACTCAACGCACGACAGAGGCGAAAGGCTGTGCAAATGTAACTTTTTATTTCACGCATTTCAGCAATCATCAGATAGCAGCATTTACAATCGAATCCTCGACGAGCAGGTCTAGCTATTTTGTGCTAGTGTGGAATAAAGTCTGTATGTGTGAAGTGTAGATGTGTCTATGGGAAAGTGCAGTTGAATTATTTATGACAGTTAACGAATAAAGATGAGAATAGAGGCGATAACAGGGCAGTGGCACTGAGTAATCGATGGCGATTACGACAGTAACGCAATGACATACTGTAACAGGCGTTAAGAGGGAGAGAGAAAGCACCGTGACGCCAAACCTGGTACAGGTGGCGCCATGTTGAAAAACCAATCATGTAACTGATGGTGAATTTTTCAGACAAGTAAAACTTGTTTTTGTGTCTACAATTCGAGACCAGCTCCGATCTTGTGTTGATATTGACCATTTTGTCTGCATCCAGGGTCGCCGAATTGTAAGCCGGGTATAGAGCACGATGGGTTTCTAGTGTGCTCCAGACGCAGTCGTGAGCCGGTCAAGTGTCTAGTCAGTCGGCAGGAAGCAGGAGCTCCTACGTTCAGAGCAGACAATTTCTTCACTGTTGCATCATCTTTCGTGCCATAATATCCATGTTCAAAGGGAGAGACAAACACAGGACAAGAGTGTCCCTGACAAACGATGTAGCTGCCGAAAAAAAGCACCTGCTCACTGGACGGGGACCTCCAAGTACTATGCATCGTGTACAAGGCGACAGTACAGTACACAGGAAGAAAGCAGCGACAGGGGTACCTCGGCTTTGCGGAAACACCCTTTAAACAGAGATACAACAACCATGCGACCGAGACAAGGCATGAAAGAATGGAAGAAAGCACGAAACTATCCTGGAGCATATGAAAGCTCGAGCAACAGAACACTCCACGGTCTGTCAAATGGGCCGTCGTCCCCCATCATCACGGTCCGGGGCTACTTGAACGCTGTCCACTATGCCGAGAAGTTCGAGACACTAGAAGCAGACACGGTGAACATCGACAAAAAGTTGTAGTTGGTACCGAAAGTCAGACAGGAGCACAAGTTATAGCTTTCCAAATTCTATGAATCAGTTACACGATTTTTGTGTCAACATGGTGCCACCTTTACGGGGTTTCGCGCGTTGTGCTTTCCCTCTCTCTCTCTCTCTCTCTCGCTCTCACTCTCTCTTTCTCTCACTCTCTCACTATCGCTGTCTTTCTCTTCACCCCTTCTATGTTCTTCCACTACTGTCGTTCTTGCCGTCGATGACTCGGTAGCACTGCCGTGTTGTCGTCTTTATTCTAATTTACATCCGTTGCCTCTCACCAACACTGTCCCATTGCCACATCTACACTTCACACACACACACACACACACACGTTACAGCTACACAGCCTTTCACCTCTTTTGTGTGTACAGTATGCATATCGCCTATAGTAATATATCGCCTATAGTGATATTTTCACGAAAATAAAACACCAACGCTATAGCCGATCCGTACTGTATATGTATGTGTACATTTCCCAAAAGTTCGGACAGAAAAATTGTTATGAAATGATTGCATGGTTATGTGGACGCGTCAGGCCCAGAATGGTTCGCTGTGGTGACTATAACCGTCATTAGAGAGGATTCGTGAGGCTGTTCGCGTGCGTGACGCGCCTGAGAAGAGCTTTCGCAGCAGTTAAACTTGCACACCGACACCCACCAGACCGGCTAATCGAGTTCAGGGTTTTCCGTGCATCGAGATGATCCCGTTTTATAAAAAATACAGGGAGTTGTACAAAACGACTTCTTGATTTTTCTTGGTCTGTGCTGAAGACCGACTACTACAGTCCATTTCAAAACTATAAACGCGTACCTAGGCAAAAACCGTTATGCCAGAATCTATACCACATAAAATCTGTGATCACTTTGTGCACTTTGTGCATATCACTTTGTGCATAAATTTTTCCAAATTGGGCGTCTGTTATCCAATCCTTTAGAACCTATATTAGAGTAATTGTGGAGCGATCCTGAGCAATATTCCGAAAACTATTCTCAAAAAGTTCCAGCTAAATTTGAAATATTTCAAAAACCCTACGCGTCTATAGTTTTGAAATGCACTGGTCACGAAGCACGTCCATTCCTTGGTCTGGGCATTTCTGCCTTAGACTCTTTGCTCATACATTTAATGTTCCCCTTTGCATCTTTCTGCGTAGAACCTGTCTCACATTATGCCGTGTTGATGCAAAGATGGTATGCTTTGAAAGAAGAATCGTTTAGACAAGAATGTTATTGATTTTTGCTGCTCTTGACGACGATAATTACTATGGTGGTAAAGACATATCTGGCAATATGGCTTTAAATATACGTCTGCCCACAAATCCTCGCCAGGCTGGAAAGTTCTGGCACAGAGCTCTCCTTCTAACCCTAACCAACAAGATATCGCGCTTGGTGCCTAGTCTATGCATGATTTGAGGTATCAGACATGCCATGCTGGTACGTCAGGCAGCGCATGGCATAATAGATGACACCGCAACAGCATAATTCGATTGGGACGTACGTTTCGTCCCCGCTGGACTCGCAAGGCAATCGTCTTCTAGGATGTCTTCAAATGGAGCTTGACTATTGAAAAGGAATTTGAAGACAACACGGCAGTTGAACTTATGGTCGATTTGATATGGTGGTAAACACATACCTAGTCATATAGCAGTAAATACATGCCAGGCCACACCCGCTGTAGCACATAGCTCTCCTTCTTACGAAAACCTGTTTGATGTGTTGGTTCCCGGCGTTGTCGAGAAGGAGGAATATGTCCGCGTTCCGGCCAAGAACGCATACTCCCTTCAGCGTACAAGAACAAGCTACGAACAAAACTCCATAAAGCCATCATTACCTCACCTTAGAAGAGTTCTTGGAGCAGCACCACTTAGCCACGCCAGCATCCCAGAAGACGAGGGCAATCACCCCTTGACGCCACAAATGATCGTCTTGAAAATAGCCAAATTACAAGCGCTGATAAAACAGCGAGCTACGTCCTCAATTACCAAACACTATACACCGGCAGATAGTAGAACACCTCTTCTAGCACTGAGTACATGTCCCCCATCATCCTTTTGGGGTTTTCTTGAAATAAATATTTTTGAATTTTTTCACTCGACCATTCTGAAAAACGTCCAAACTCATACCTGCGCAGGAAAGCTCGCCCCTCCGCGACGTCTAGTCAGCCATTTCTACTCCAACACCACTCCCAACGCTACAGAACAAAGTGTATTGTCGACTCTGACAAGGAAAAGCAGCGGTGATCACTTGTCACTCCAAACGACAAGCTTCTCCTTGCGCCACCAACATTTTTCGTTGCAACAGTTGATGCAAAAGTGACTGAATATTTGCGTTTTGGCGTCAAGGGATCATTTCCCTCGTCTTCTGGGATGCTGGCGTGGCTAAGTGGTGCTGCTCCAAGAACTCTTCTAAGGTGAGGTAATGATGGCTTTATGGAGTTTTGTTCGTAGCTTGTTCTTGTACGCTGTGCCGTGGCTCGTTTGTAGACCAATAAATCGTGCCAATATTGGGCCAATATTGAGGGTATGCCAATTTCATGGTTCCCTTCAAAAGATTTTGTGTGAGCTTTGGAATGTCGATCTACACCCCAAAGCAAACCTACCTGCAAAATATGAGCGAAATCTGAGAGATCGACTTGCACATATGTTCTGGTTTTCTCAGACTTGCTCTCTTAATACGCATCATTTATGTGCGATCAGGAGAACACACACCACTTGGGATTAGAATAGCGGATTTCGGGAGATTGATGGATAATGAACTGTTCCATGCCTGCAGCAATGGTAATAGCAACTTTAAGGCAAGCCAACTCTGCATCGTGGGTGATACTGAATGCCCAATGGACGGCCTTGAGGTGTGCTCCGAGTCACCCTCAGCCAGCACGCTCTTAACGCCGCACAGTTTGCGTGGTTGTCTGTCCCCGGCTTGTTGAAATGGTCAGGAAGTTAACTTATTGAGTTCCATGATTTTAGCGACCAAATTGGTCAAGTATATTCGTGCTGATGGATTTTGGAAAGTTGACAGGATGAGGTTTAGTGGTGTGGCACCTCAAGCGGGCTCTCGAACATGTTTCGTTAGCTCGTGTGTGACACAAAGATCCACAAGGCTATCCCCGAGAGGGTTTGATTTTTCGCTACCAAGCTAATCTTTACAATGCACGTTGAAATCCGCCGCTGGAACTACGTTTGGGGACAGTTCTTTGGCCTAAGGTAGTGTTTCGCTACGTGAATTGATGAGACAGAGGTTTGTGGGGCTACAGGAGTAGGAGCGGTACGCAGAACCAATCACCAAACTTGCAACACATAGCCCAAAATGTTGTATGTTCCGCGGACCGAAGTAAGTCTAGATTATCAGAAGCAAAGGTGGACTTGATCAACACATCAATACCACCTCCGTGCTCGTTTCGGTTCCTGCCATATGAGAATCCTTGTTCAAGAATGCACGAGTCAAGGCTAGTTATTGCATTAGCAGAGAATACAGCTTCAATGACATTTTCTACATCTAAGTCGTGCCGGATGAGTGCATGCCTCAGGACGTCCACTTGGAGGTGTCAACCGGAGCTGCCAAACAACCAAGCCCAATGGAGGAGACCAGCGTTGAAGGTTACAAAGTGAGCAGGTCGGATGTCCGCCATAAATCATCATTGCACGAGAGGCAGAAGAAGCTGCAGTACAGCGAAAGGATTGTCAATGTTGACCGTGGTAACTTTACCCCGCTTGTCTTCACCACGGCTGGCAGTGCATCCCCAGAATGCTTCCGGTTTTTTGAAGCGATTATGCGCTATGCTGGCACAGCATGATGGCAAGCCCTATGGCGAGGTTATGGCCTATGTCAGATGCTGTCTGTCGTTTGCACTCCTCCGAGCTGCAGTTATGTGCATCAGCGGGGCTCGCTCTGCATACCATCGACCGGTAAATGCATTGCGCCCACTAGCCATGGCTGAGGGACGGATGTAACAGTGGTGTGTATAACCTCGCTAATGGCAGTGTCCTCAATACTAATGGACGCGTCATGTTTTTGTTTATAATTTAAGGTGCAATTTAGCGCTGATGTGGGTATTTCTTTGCTTTTCGTCTTTTGGTCCTTTAAAATGAAGCGGAGTTTTATTTCCTTTTTCTTCCTTTCCACCGAGATATTATTTCTTGCTGTTTTTTACTGGATGTGTCACGACTTTGAATTGAATTGAATTTTCTTAAATTGATTTGATTTTTAGCGTTATGAGCGGCTTTATTGACATTGCTCTTCAGATTGGATTTTTTATTGGCCCGTAAAAGAGGCTCCTTTACATCCTAAATTCTGCACTATTCTGGTCGTGTGGACTTCACATGTGTGACTTGCACAAATTGTACCAGTATGCTGTGTCTTATACAGTACTATTCAGTTCAATTCTATCCGCAACTGATTATCCTCTGGTGAGCTGCTTTTAGTGAAATCATGAAACATCATTTGTCGTGCAGTGCTAGTTGTCGGAAGTTGTAGCGTGATGCTATATTTAAGATTTAAACTTGTGGAAGCTTACACCTTTCTGTGTTAGAAGCGCTGTGTATTCCTAACATAGATCCAGGACTATGTGTATAGAAGGAGAGTGTGTTATCTTTGCAGATGCTTGGTGGCACAGGAAAGTGTGCCCAGTATTTCATGATGTGTTGACCATGTTTGTCTACAACTCCCAGGTTCCGTTTTTGAGGTTTTGGCACTTTAATCATTTTTCAATTAGGTTGAGGTGTTTTCTTTTTTTCCTTATTAAAAACTTTACGTAGTTACATTTTTTCCAACATTCCCTGTGCTATCTTGATGAGGAGTGAAGGAAAGCGTTGTTTGGATGAAAAAGTGTCTACTTGATAGTGTCGATTTGCGTCTCTGCATGCGAAGGTATAGATTGCGAAAATATGGGGTTTTGTTCTAAAGTATGTAGTGCCGCTCTCAAAACATCTGTTTCAATTTCCCCTGTCTGGTGACCACTGCCATGCCTGAAACTTCTCTTTGCACCTGGTCTTGGCGCTTTTCCTGATATTTCTCTGGAAATTGGTCTGTTTAGCACTCTAATCGAGGTGCCTTTACCTTTTGTGGACATATACGTGGAGTGGTTGCATTGGTTGGTTGGATCACATCAATGTCTTTATAAAGGCTTATTTGGAATACAAACTGTCAATTCTGCAGATAACTGGTACTTTTGCTCACAGAGCCAAGAAGCATCGGGAAGCCTCGAAACACTTTATATTCCCACACCTAAGACATACGATGATGCGTCTGCTGAGTGTGCCCAGAGAGGTAGCATTCTGGCGAATATCCAGAATAGATTTCATGGAGAGTGTGCAAGAGAACTGCTTGGACCCCGAAACGGTCAGTGCAACAGTTCTTCCAGTGGTAACTGCACGACTTCCTCGTACTTCTGCAAAACCAATACATGCAATGTGTGGGTTGCTCTTCAACGACCATCTCCATCCAAAACCTGGACATGGATGTTACCTGTTCCAATCGCTGCAAAAAACGTTTCTTGGATTACTGCACCACTACAAGAAGGTGGTGGACGGAACGATTGCGGATATTATTCCCCGGAGAAAGACAGTTTTGGAATCGAATCTTGCTCTATGAAGCTAAGTTTCTATTGCCAAAGATATACACCAAAAGGTAGGGATCTCATAGAAATTCTTTCACACACCCATTAGGCTACTCTTATACTTGCCTTACAGCCTTTCCGTATTCACCTAACTATACACTAAAGGGGCTGATAATGTAACATTAATTTGTAAACAAAGGTTGCTTTTAAAACTTGCTAGCCCACTAAGGCCATTCAATGCACATTTTTCGATCCATGATCATTATCACAACTACCATAATACAAAGATCGGGATCGATGTACATTTCTTCTTCCAAAACCTTCCGGTTTGTTTTATTCCTAGGGAAAAATGGCTCGGGCAGGCAATTACCACTTGGCGCGGTGATTGGAGAGATTTATAGTCAGCTTCGGGAGTACGAAAATTTATAGAAAGAAAAATCGAAAAATGAAGAATGAAAAGTTGAAAACTTGTGGTCAGGTGCTTTTTCCAGGGGTACGTGGGTGCCGCTAATGGGGTTTCTCCCTCAAGCGCTCAATATCCCGCTAGGGTCTAATGGGGTAAGAGTCCGTCGAGAGTTCCCGTCGGACGCGGACACAACAATTTTCTTTAATATTTCCTCGAAATAGACTTGGGTATGTGTTAAATAATCTTAACGCTTGCAGTTCCGAAGCACGTGCTAGCTGGCATTACACGCGATAGTCACATTGGGCACTAGGAATATCGCCATTTCACTAACCAATATTGATATCAACAAATTAAGGAATTTCCAGTTTTTGCTCTTGGGCAATAAATACGATGATAGATTCGACCAGGCAATCCGGCAGTAGTTAACATGTGGCAAGATGTAATGCATTGTAGGAAGAAGTGCGAAAGCTGACAGGAAGGCGGGCGCGATGGGAGTATAATTATTATAGTTCTGTCCCCACTTGAAGTATTTTGCTCCTGCTCTTGAAGCAGTTGAGCGCTCTTGTCTTTGCTTTGTGCGTTATGCAGAGCTCCCTGACTTGTGAGTTTGAGCACTTTGGCAAGGTTCTGCATGTACCTCCGCCAACGTCCTTCACATCTAAGAGTTTCACGTTTCAGTCTTGTTTGCGCGCATCTTCCCCTCCTACTCCTATAACTTAGAACCTTTCAAGTTGGAAGGAGGTTGGAGTGCGATTCCAGTACATGCTGGAGTACGTGCTAGAGTTGACCGTCAGTACTGTTCAACAGTGTCGTTCAATTGCATTGCATGAGCTGATAGTCAAGCAACTAGTATTGGTGTTAGTGGACATTATAGCGTAACTTACATTTCCTGGATCATTTTCTTTCCTATCTATATAAATAAAAACCTGTTAAAGATTGCTGGAGTCTCAGTTCGAAAATCTTTTAGAATTCTGATTTTCTGGAAGCAGTCAAATAGTCTGTACATATACAACTATTTTTGCATTAGAAAGGTAATATTCGACAAACTAAAAACCATGTACTTGTACATGTCTTGTTCACTGGGATTCCATGCGTTCTTCACTATGCTCTTTCCCCTGTAGTGCCCTCCGCCTTAGCTGCAAACTCTACAGACACGCAAATCTACGCACAAATAGTGCAGCCTGAGATACTTCGAGATTGGGTTTCTGATTTCTGCTTTCTGTACGAGAAAAATGGAACTTCGGCTACCCCGACTGTAGTGTGCGACAAAAATGAATCAACTGTTCTGTCAGGCCTGGCAACAAATACTTTGTACCGGATCAGAGCATTCTTCAAAACTACGATCGGACACAACAGCAGCATGTCCTCTGAAATCATAATTGGAACATTGCCAAAAGGTAAGGGAGGCGGTTACATCATATACCGACACCAACAGGGTCAGGAGTTAAGAGAGCATGTCTGAGAAAACCAGAACATATGTGCAAGTCAACCCCCCAGATTTCGCTCAAATTTTGTAGGTAGGTTTGCTTTGGGGTGTAGATCGACATTCCAAAGCCCGCACAAAATCTTTTGAAGGGAACCATGAAATTGGCATACCCCTCAATATTGGCCCAATATTGGCACGATTTATGGGTCTACAAACCAGCTACGGCACAGCGTACAAGAACAAGCTACGAACAAAACTCCATCAAGTCAACATTACCTCACCTTAGAAGAGTTCTTGGGGCAGCACCACTTAGCCACGCCAGCATCCCAGAAGACGATGGCAATCATCCCTTGACGCCACAAATGATCGTCTTGAAAATAGCCAAATTACAAGCGCTGATAAAACAGCGAGCTACGTCCTCAATTAGCAAACACTAAACTCCGGCAGATAGTAGAACACCTCTTCTAGCACTGAGGACATGTCCCCCATCATCCTTTTTGGGTTTTCTTGAAATAAACAATTTTGAATTTGTCCACTCGACCATTCTGAAATACGTCCCAACTCATACCTGCGCAGGAAAGCTCGCCCCTCCGCGACGTCTAGTCAGCAATTTCTACTCCAACACCACTCCCAACGCTGCAGAACAAAGTGTATTGTTGACTCTGACAAGGAAAAGCAGCGGTGATCACTTGTCACTCCAAACGACAAGCTTCTCCTTGCGCCACCAACATTTTTCGGTGCAACAGTTGATGCAAAAGTGACTGAATTTTTGCGTGTAGTTTTTGGATTTTACTGCAAGAGGAATGATGAAATCACGTGCTTCGTGACACAAGAATGCCAGGTCTCGTACATCATGGTACACCACTGTTCAGCAGTTGTTCCGAGTCACCTTGATCAAGCGCACCTGCACTTACATGGATCAACCGTTGATCAAGATCGGATCAAGTGCATCTTGATGTCCAGCTCAAGAGCACGCATGTCGTGTTGTAGGCCTTTCAGCCGGGACTTTCCCTCAACATGCAGCACACAGACTAGGGCGAGTAGGGTCCAAATCACGTTGTTCATGACGTAGGAAATCTGCCATGTGGGCGCGCCACATACCCCATGCAACCAGTGTAGGCCGCGCGCTGGTCAACTCCAAGCGACCTAAGTTGATGGCATGAACAACGGTCATTCCTTGCTGTTGCAGATCTACGTGGATCATCAGCATGTAAACCAGCCGTAGTTCCTGTTGAACCATGTTCGGGAAGAGCGAGGTTAGTGTGAAAAAATGCATCCCTGTTCTTACTGCAAGAGGAAATATCTCAAAGAATTCTTGCCAATGCATTACTGCTAGTGCTATAACGATAGTTTCTGAATGTTCTGAGCATTGCATGCAAGAAATATAATGCATCTTACCTCCTCCCTCATGGTCCGTTTCGAATAGCGCCTCGGGAACGATCGTGATCATGTGCATTGTGTCGTGCACCAGAAAGCATTATTCTACGTCACGATGCACGTGATTTCTTCATTCCTCTTGCAGTAAAATCCAAAAACTACACGCAAAAATTCAGTCACTTTTGCATCAACTCTTGCACCGAAAAATGTTGGTGGCGCAAGGAGAAGCTTGTCGTTTGGAGTGACAAGTGATCACTGCTGCTTTTCCTTGTCAGAGTCAACAATACACTTTGTTCTGCAGCGTTGGGAGTGCTGTTGGAGTAGAAATTGCTGACTAGACATCGCGGAGGGGCGAGCTTTCCTGCGCAGGTATGAGTTGGGACGTATTTCAGAATGGTCGAGTGGACAAATTCAAAATTGTTTATTACAAGAAAACCCAAAAAGGATGATGGGGGACATGTCCTCAGTGCTAGAAGAGGTGTTCTACTATCTGCCGGTGTTTAGTGTTTGCTAATTGAGGACGTAGCTCGCAGTTTTATCAGCGCTTGTAATTTGGCTATTTTCAAGACGATCATTTGTGGCGTCAAGGGATGATTGCCATCGTCTTCTGGGATGCTGGCGTGGCTAAGTGGTGCTGCCCCAAGAACTCTTCTAAGGTAAGGTAATGTTGACTTGATGGAGTTTTGTTCGTAGCTTGTTCTTGTACGCTGTGCCGTAGCTCGTTTGTAGACCCATAAATCGTGCCAATATTGGGCCAATATTGAGGGGTATGCCAATTTCATGGTTCCCTTCAAAAGATTTTGTGCGGGCTTTGGAATGTCGATCTACACCCCAAAGCAAACCTACCTGCAAATTTTGAGCGAAATCTGAGAGATCGACTTGCACATATGTTCTGGTTTTCTCGGACATGCTCTCTTAAGAGTTTTGCGTGACTCTTTAAGGATTTGGTGAAATGAACATTCTTCTTATTGTTCCGGGCAAATTCGTTTTGCCAGGATCGATTTCTTTAAATGACAATCCCGCGGCCAAGTCAATTATTCCCTTTCCTTACCCATTGTGCAAGCTCAAGCTGGATACAGATCTATTTCATTCCTTGGTGCTGACGGCTTTAATGCGCTTCCCGAATCCCTTCGCACAAATCATATCCCCAATTCATTTCGCCAGGAACTTAACAATTTCATTCATCTTGGGCACCCTGTAAGACGACTTTAGGGTCTGTTGGGAATGCCCAGGTAAAATAATAAAATACAATACAAATACAATACATTCCATGTCACGCTTCACATAATATGCATTGCTGAATCGATTTAGGGTATAGCCTCTAATGTGCCCAAATTATTTCGTTGACAGGATGTGGAGATCTGGATGTGGAGCTAAATAAATTATTGTGAAAAGAAGAAGGACACAATGTTACGAGTTGGGGGACAGTTAGTCCTAACTCGTAACATTTTGTCCTTCTTCTTTTCACAATAGTTTCTTATCAGTGTTATTTTCACGTGCATGATCCTTAGTCACTGCCTTGCATGCAGTCTTTTCCTTTGTCACACCGGGTGTATACTTGGAAACTATTCCATTATCACGTAGCTCAACATCATCATCACCTTACTTGAATCTATACGGTACTAGAGAAACTGTGAGTGGACCTAATTGATCCGCAGACTGGAACGCGGCAGTGCTAAATTAATAATAATAAGAATAATTTGCTTCTTTCCCTCCAACCAAAAGAAGAATAGAAAGAATATGAATGATAATAATCCTTTGGTTAATTTTCTTCTAAACAAAACCATTTCCTTAGTCATTACACGTGATGTGGATGTGTTTTATATCAGCGCCAAATCCGCCTCTCAACCCCGTCATCTCAAGTACTACTATCACAGTATTTCTAGGTCGATTAGAAGAAGGCAACCTTCCAATACGCCAGTATTGTTTGCAAGGGATGCCTGCTAATGCTCTGTCCGGGAATATGCCATTGGTACCAGTATGCAGCGCCTCGAAAAATGTCAACTTACCTGGCCTAAAACCCAACATGAGCTATAATGTCACCGCCTATGTTAGCAATGCCTATGGAGACAGTGACCAGTCCAGCTCCACTCGCATTACCACGTTGCCCACAGGTGAGGATGAATTTTGTTTTAAGCATTGTATGTAGCTTTGGATGTGGCTAGCACTTAGAAGGTCATCACGCGAAGCACGGAAGCGTTATAGTTTCGAATAAGCCTTTCGAACCCTTACTTTCCAAGTCGAGTACAATTGTGAATAACACAGCAAACCGGTTTGAACAAAGTTGCAAGCAAATCCTTATAACCAGCATTTTGGAGGTCAGAGCATTTAAAAAATATCACTTATGAAATTTTGGAAAGCTACCTATACTAACTTTGAAAGTGTTGCCAGACATGATAACCTCTGTGTCAAGGTTACGCGTAAAAATAGAATATGGATGACTTAACAAAACAGATTATGAGTATTGCCAAGTGTTTACCTACATGTTGTCAGCAATCAACGCTTTCTTTATTCACAAGGTATGTGTGGCCTTAGCAAGGGCAGTGCAAACGCACAAACAATGAAAACAATAGACACAATCTTTTTTTCGTTACACAGAAAAACGAATATCGTTTTTGGTCTCTACATTGGTCTCTATAAATACATCTGAACTTGTCAACATTGTTATCTGCCAATTTTATAGTGCCATCATCAACAACACCCCCCACCTCGGGCAATGAAGCAAGCACCAGCGGGATCAGTGTTGGAGGATTCGTTGGCCTAGCCGTGGCAGGAGTCCTAACTGTAATCCTGGCTGTAGCCATTGCGGCCAACCGAAAAAGGATTTCTCGCTGGTTCTCATCGAAAGATTTTACAGGTACACAATTCACTGTCCTCCCTGTCTTGAAGCCTTTGTGTTCAATGCACGGTTCTTTTTCTCAGTATAAACAGCGCTAAATCCTGCGAGGCCCCCTTCACTGAAGCTAGAAAAGCTTTTGTTTAGTGAAGGATTCCTGCCCTAAGAGATCCTATAGCATAATATTATGATAAAGGAAATCATTACAATTAGCTGAACCGACATTTATTACAGGGTGCCACAGAGTTCTTGGCCATTGAAGAAAATGTGTTGAGTCTCCTCCACCACTACACTGCACTCGTTAGCTGACTAGACCCTCCTGCACACAGCCATCAACATTCCAAAGGACCCTTCCTTAGACGATATTGATAAACTGCTTCAGACAGCTGTTTTGCTAATACATAGCTCATCAGTGAAGGTAGATGTTGATTGGTTTAAATATAGACCAAACTGCTATTATAATTATAAGGTTTCCACATACAAAACTGGCATAGCTGAGGTGATAACGCGGGAAAGTGTGAAGTACTGTTGACGCGCATGGGACATGCATGCAGCGTTAGAAATTCGGCGCGGAAAATCAATCACTATGACTATCAGTGCAGAAATAACGTGCCAGAATCAGTGTACTGGGTAGCTAGTGAGAGTCTGTGTAACGCACTTGTCCGAGTTCCGTGGAGGCCGGCAAACGCCCCTCACCTCTGAGCAATAATAGGGACAAGACGAGTCAAGGGACAATCCGCAGGACGCAATACCATACGACCAACTGTTTTTTTCTACCAGCGTTATTGTACTGTCCACACACATCTGACGATGATATACTGGGCGAATGCCGCGGGGCCTCGCAGCGTGTCAGCGGCATTGGGTGATGGGCAGATAGCAAGGTAGCTTGCGGACAACATTGGTGGCATGAATACTAATGAGTGCCAAGCGTTTTGGCGCGACGGGCGACCAGTACAGTGCTTCAGGGGCTGCTGTGGCTGTTGATGTGGGCGAGTCGTGTGGTGTGTTTGCCGGCCTTCATGGCGCTCGGACAAGAGCCATACACAGACTCTCACTAGCTACGCAGTAAACTGATTCTGGCACGTTATTTCTGCATTGATAGTCATAATGATTGACTTTCCGTGCCGAATTTCTGACGCTGCATGCATGTCCCATGCGCGTCAACAAAACTTCACACTTTCGCGCGTTATCACCTCAGTTATGCCAGTTTTGTATGTGGAAACCTTTTATAATAGCAGTTTGGTCTACACTTTACTCAATCAACATCTTACATCACTGATGAGCTATGTATTAGCGAAACAGCTGTCTGAAGGAGTTTATCAATATCATGTACGGATGTGTCCTCGCAATGGTGATGGTTGTGTGCAGGAGCGTCTAGTCCGCTAAGGAGCGCAGTGTAATGGAGGTCACTCGACATGAACCGACATTTGTGTACGATATTCATGCAATGTAACAACAGTATAGTCGATGTGCAATAAAACGATGAAAATAAGAAGAAATGGTGTACATCGTCTCCACTGGTTTACCATTGCATGAATAAAGTACACAAATGTGGGTCTAGCTAATTTTATTGATTGCGGTTATCAAATTATTGTCCCCTCACCGTTTTCATAACATTATATTAATTTTAATGGGGATCGTATGCAGATAAAAATGCAGCTCTCTATCTTTGTTTCCTTATTTCTATGCCTTCGTCTGCCTCTCAGAAGTTTTCTGACCTTTTGCTCTTTCAGTCTATACCTCTTTCTGTCCGTCTTCCCTTCTCTTTCTCTCTTCATCTGTCACTTACCATTTCTCTCTGTCGGTCTCTTTGTCCCTCTAAACCTCTTTCTCTTTCCCTGCCTGTTCGTCTCTCGGTATGTCTCCCGATCTCTCTCCCTCTCCGCTCTTCTAAACGTCAACCAATGTGGTCATGTTAGCAGCATGAATTTCGCCAAGGGAATGTGTTTTCGAAGTAATGTGAATTCTGTGCTTTAACGCTACATGAAATGCTGGGTATATATGTTGGACTCAGTAGAGCGTCCAGCCCCTATATGATGTCCAACCCCTATATAAAGTCCATTGGTCCAAAATCCACTGTACAGAGTCCAAACTTTGAATCAACTGCAAGCTCAAAGTTTAGATGGACATCACTCCCTGTATAGAGTCCAGCCAATTGGCTTCACCCCTATATAGAGTCCATTGGTCCAAAATCAACTGTACGGAGTCCAAACTTTGAAATCAACTATAAAGAAACCTTATGTGGACAACACTCCCTGTATTAAGTCCAGCCAATTAGGCATCCCCTATCCAGAGTTCGAAATTTGACATAGGATCTGCTGTAAGCATTGAATATTAACCAGAAAACGGCCTCTCCCTTTAATCCTTTACATCATTCACTTCTCAAGATAAAAAATAAGTATTGAGGCGCCACTGCAGCCTCTTCATTACATGAAAAACCCTACAAACACAATCCTCAAATCAAGTGGTCTCTTCGCAGACGCTGCAAATTACAATATCTCAATTATGTAGTGTTGCCAAAGTATTGTGCACGCACACACACACATGCACACAACGCCAAGAAAATATCTAGAAAAAAGACCAAGAATTGAAAGAGAATAATGGAGAGCCAAGGATTAATTATTTGTTTTCAAATTATTGTGCGCGCGCACACACACACACAAACTTATACAACGCCAAGAAAACACCAAGAAAAGAGTAGAGACACAATACACACGCAACTCCAACAGCCATGCAAACGTCCACCGATTTACACGTAAGGTCAAGAGGGATAACAAATAGTTATACGAAACGAATGCATACGTGGGCGGATGCACACACGTTTACATACATGTAGTAGTGTAAGAGAGTAACATAGTGCAGTGGTCAGCATAATACTAGCACATGCTGAGAGTGCAATAGCAAGCTTCACCATTGCTCATGGCCATGCAAATGTTCAGCAGCACTCAGTTCCGCAAGCTTCTGAAGATCAGCACACCTGCAACAAAGAGATAGCACAAGGATACGCTTAGTACCGTAATGATGCATGGGAGCACACAACTACCAAGTTCTCAACAAATGTGATGCTCAATGAAAATCTATCCACTCCAAGACCTGTGAACAGGTGACGGTGGGGACAATAATCTATTAGTAATACGAGGAATAAGGTCGTTTGTGCACACTCAAGACGCACAGACACACCACCATACATGTAGTGTACACAGTGTTTCACTTCACTGTAACTAAATTAAAAGGAGATGATTTGAACAATCTGTACAGCGTTGCAGTCAGTCAGTCTTCCCCAAGATGTAAATGCAATGATTTGTTGTCACGAGGCAGTATCACTGACACAATGTCATGTTTGTTACATCAAAACGGTTACTTCATGGAATACGAGTACATGTATTAGCTTGAGAAGCTTTTTCTTGTCATCGGCATACAAGAAATCCTCCTCCTCCTCCTACTACTACTACTACTAGTACACTGGCACTGCGTTTGTGGATCCCATTGTATTTGACATCATACTAGAGCCTGGTAGAGGAAGAGTGTCGTGGAGTTCACATAATTATCACAGGGATAAAAATACATTTCTCATGAAATAAAATAATAATTGATAGCTGACGATCGTATACGATTGATGCAAAGTCCTTGCAGTCCTTGAGGATTATTACGAAGTGGTTGATTACTTTTAGGGCATTCATCCAAGCAACATCAAACAAACGCGATACGCTCCTTGAAAATGGAAACAAATCCAAGCATAACGACAGAACAGCAGACCAATCGAAACGAGTAAAAGCTTCCTTACCTCAGTCATCGTCCTGCCATGTAGTTGGACAGCTTTTTGACACGGTGGTACAGGCAGCTCTTGTCCAGTCGAACAGGGTATCCTTGTGGCGTCGAATGAAAGAGAGTGTCAGTGTATCTGACCGTCGTCAGATTGGAACTGTGCTGAACTTTTCTCGTTCTCGGCTTTCTGCTTTCATCCCTCGCTCTGATGAAACCGTTCAAACGTCTTCAACTGGCAGCAATGGCCAGCCAAACAGGGGATCTTTGTGGCGTTGAACGAAAGAGAGAGTCAGTGTACCTGACTCGTCAGATTTGAACTGTGCTGAACTTTTCTCGTTCTGCAATTTCTGCTTTCATCCCGCGCACTGATGAAACGTCTTCAGAGAACCACAATACGCTTTCCAGATTTGATTTTGAACGTCTCCTTATCCTCCTTGGTTACCTCGAGACAGATTACTGTCAGCAACGGCACAGCAGAACTGACAGGCATGGCTGACGTGAAGAAAGGAATGCGCTGCCACGAGGCAAGCAAAACTGAAAAGGTGTTCTTTCGGGCACAACACACAGTACAGGACGGCGTGACTGGATAAACTGGACTCCTGGACCGTGAATCGGGCCTTTCGGGGACTTGTAGAAAAAGTGTACTCCCGGGGATTGCGCGGCAGGATGAAGCTGATCAAAACTGAGTGGACTCCTGGACCCTGTATAGTGGATTTTGGACCAATGGACTCTATATAGGGTGCTGGACATCATATAGTGCATGGACTCTATACTGAGTCCTACATATATTCACAAGTCAATGTCGAATATCAATTATCAATCTCGACAGGGAATTTACCATTACATGCGATGTTTTCTTGTGTGTTCCGCTCTCCTTCTAATCATCAGTTCCAGAAGGGAGGCCACAGGTGAGTGCAGCGAGAAACACGTTTACATTATGCACCTTATCTGTCCTCATTCATCTGTTTTGGTCTAAATATCACACAGTATCGCCTATTGAGTACTTTGCACAAGAAAATCCATGTACGCCTTGCGAGCAATGTAGCGGCAGCATCTTCTCTATGGCTTTGTCTTTTCTTACGTCTTCTCCTTGACTGTGCACCTCAAAGTTAAATGATTTTTGAAAAACTAGCACTGTCGCAAAAGCGAAAAATGCTGGCCAACAACAACCTCCTTTGTATTTCGGAGAAAAACCATCGAACAATTTAGAATTACTTAGGTAGAGTATAGGTAACTCTTTACTGGCCAAGAAAGCGCCAAAGGAAGCTGCGATGCACCCCTGAGTCAAGTGACCTGATCCATTTGAAACTCTGCGTCGCAACATAGCTTCGTACCCCGCGATTGTGTGGACGACTGCGTTCTTGATCACATTTCAGTTTTTCGACAATGCCTCCTCCAAGTAGTTAGTTCTTGAGAAACATTTTCGACCTCCTTATATTGCACGGAGGGGAATCTGTGGAGCCCTAGGTAGCCTAGCGACATAATATTCTACAGAAACACAAGTAAAGTGTTAACTCTCACCAGAATATACTCTAGCGGTTTCGTACCCTTCCCGCACAGGAAGCTGATCCAATTGAACTTAACCAGTACGAGGATGTTCAACGCAATGATGAAGGAGAAGCCCACAGGCCGCAAGATCACGATGAACAGGTACGGAGAAGTAGGAACAAAAATAATTTTTTGGAAGTATAATTATATTTATGACATTTATTCAAGTGTAATCTCCATTAATTAAACATAGCCTTGAATGAAGGATTGACATGAAGAGGAGAGAATGAATTAGCGAGATTACATACAGAAAAATGAGTAGAGTGCTGACTCCCAAGCACATAATGAACGCATTTCAAAACTAGTATCTCGTTTTACTGGTCAGTTCAAGCCCATTTTGCAAGAGGAGATGGCTTTCAACAGCTTCAAATGTTGAATGACGAGGATTTTAGCGTGGGTCCAGCTTGGCGAATGGGGCCTCTAATTTTGCAATCTTCTGTTCAGGCTGTTTCACAGGAGTGTTCCGACGCTGCAGTTGGTTCTCGTATTAGAGACGAGAAACCTGCAGAAGCAGACACTGACGTGACAGGAACAGAACACAGCCACGACAAGGAGACAGAGGCGACAGCGGTAAGACCTATGGAGGAGAAGTGATGAAATTTGTTTGTTTTAGACTTGGATCTTGTATTAATTTTCTTTTTTGTCCGTATAACTGAACGGGAATTCGGCTCAGTTGGTGACAGCTTTCTTCCGTGCTCTTTCTACAGTTGCGCACATTGAAATCGGACACAATGTTTGCACAACCAGCGCCTTACACCAGATCTGACAACATCATTGCACTTCTACATGTGAGAGTCCTGAAATCCACACTATAATCGTGGCATTTCATCGACGTCAGGGTCCGCGCGAGTCTAGGGTGTGAAGTATGCTCTTTGAATCTGATTTCACCGAGAATAAAGGTATTTTGAAAGATAGCTGCTTTTCTAAGAGAAGGAGACCACACGTCACACAATCATCATGGTAACTACAACGACAATCACTATTTTCCACAAGATAGTTATCCACAGCAGACACATACACCGTGACAGCACTACCAGGCTCAGTACATGAGTTCGAGTTTCGAGACAATGGAACTGACTTGTTAGTCCGTCACCTTCTTGCCGATATTGGAGATACTTGGTCTCTTTCATGGAAAAAAAGGTGAAGTTCGCGCAACTGTGCGGCCCTCCACATTCTTGGCACTGATGTCCTCCTCCAGAGTTTGGCAGCAAGGAAATTGGTCGCCGCCCTCAGCTATAATTATAAAAGCTGATATGTCTGGCAGGGCCACCGCAACTAACGTCGCTGGTTCCCCCACTGCTTCCTCCACGAACATGTCCTCGAACTCGGTCCGACCACTCGGTGCGCCAGGAGTCTCAACTACAGAACGTCCTCCCGTCTTCCTCTCCTGACTACGTGTGATGCTGCTTCCCCTACAGCATCATTGACGAGTAGAACAACTTGCCCCCAACTGAGCTGCAGTCTCCTCCACGCCTGTCGTCCCTCCAGTTGTTCAAGGGCAAGGTGTATCAGCACCTACGACAAAGCCGCTGGTATCGGGCTACAGACTCGCTGGCACACCCCATACTACAGCCTCACTGTAACACCCCATGCTAGTCCCGCCTCACGGGCACAGGCTCCCTGAGAGCCCCTACTAGTACATTGTCTGTCGTTCTCCTTTGTTGTCTCGATCATTATTCTCTGTTGTCTTCTTCTTCTCCTCTCTTTGTAAAGTCTATCACGAGGAGGTGCATTCTGTAAAAAAGAAAACAGTGCTATAACCGGCTTGCGGCTGGGTTGAGAAACACAACCAGCTCAGAGAGGTGTTGCTTGTTCCAGGCCACCACCGTGCATGATTTTACCAAGGTGGCAGATGCAGGGCAATAAATGCCGAAGGTGAGGTGGTAAAACTCGTCACCAATGTTCGCTAACCCCCCCCCCCCCCACCACCACCACCACCACCACCACCACCACCACCCTTCGCTATCATAATTATTGGGAAACGATCCCGTTCGACTTTGCGAAGTAAAATAAAGAACACATACATAACAGGGGCGAACCTCGTTAGCTGAGTCAATGTTAACTTTACTCAGAACAGTGTCTGGTTTACGCAGTCAAAGACATTTGCGTGTTATGAAATCTATCTCCATGTTTACAACCAAACCAGACTTCCACAAACAGAAAAGGTTTTTACACTGGACACCGAATTGTTCTGTAAATCCGGCCCAGTTATCCTCTCCTTCTTGTTACAAAAGTTACTTTCTGGCTGAGAATGTATCTCATAATATACTCATTGTCACAGGATATTTTTGATTTGTATTATGACTGTCAGCGCTCATTATTGTTGCTTATGGCGCTTGTACTGGGTGCGCCCTATTCATTCTGTAATACCATTCCTATACTATCCTACGGAAGCCATTTGACGAATTATGTGGTTCTATAATTACTTCATGAAATCTAAAAAATTGGCCTTCTCGTGCCCAGCATCAATTACCGCCCGGAACAATTTCTTAACCAGATTTCGAGCATCTCTTCAATCAGAATTGCACGAAAACTGGTTTCGGAGTCCTCCTTGCCTCCAATTCAAATCGGCAGGAAAACCTCGAGCTCAGATGCAGGATCAACAAACATTTCCCCAAGTATCGCCGAAGTCGCAACAATCTCTTCTTCACATTTTTTTCCCGAGTGCGGGCTTGCGAATAAGATGGTTTGGAGGCAACAACATTGATCAGCACCTCCATGACCGACACTGACTCACGCTGCTATCTGGTATTCACAAGGTGTTTGCCGCGCTGGAAACGGAGCATATGTGTAAGTTTGTATCCCTGGTGATGTTTGTGCCTGGATAGCACTAGTGGTGCTCTTCTGGCACAATCTTTCACCACAATCTTCATCAGCCCACTCAAGCTGAAACACGAGTGGTGCTTTCTAGCAGGTATGCTGAGTGAGCGGTTCGATGGACTTCGTATGCTCTGGATGGCAGTCGTGAGTCTGCCACGTGTGAATTCAAGCTCGGGAAGAAAACTGCGAGCTCCCATGTAGGGAGCAACGCACAATTCCACAAAGAAGATTAAGAAGATAACAGAGAACAAATGGGCAGGGGTTTGCAGGCCCCTCATGGATGATGGCACAGTGTCTCACTTTATTGGTGATTTCATGCCCATATACATGAGTGGATGGCTTCCAGCACTGTCCCGCTTTGAATAAACAGCAAACTTATGCGATTGTAACCTGGAATATATTACTAGTATTATGGCCTCTTTTCATTCTTCTTCACAGGCATCGGGAGCGAGTGCACTGGAGTATACCTATGCCACGCCTGATAGTCGTAAAAGAGACGTGAACCATGCAGAGTTGGACACAGACGCACAGGGAGCGGAACACAGCGACAACAGCAAGGAACCAGCGACAGAGGTAAGAAGCTTTCATAACTAATGATGCCTGTTAATTTCAGACGTTGATCCGGTATTTGTCTTTTGGGGTGTAGTTTAGAACCTGTCTCTAGCTTAGCAATTTCATGCAGTGTTATATAATCTCTAAGGTTGCATTCACTGAAATCGCACTCAATGTGCAGAACATGCGCTATAAACCAGTTCTGATCTCATCACAGTACTTCTGCACGTGTGGGTGCAGCCGTCCAGCATAAATGGGCTGTGCAGGTCGAGGGCGCCAAATATGTCAGAAAGCAATATTAATTTGACAGTAATAAGGATTTATCATGCATCTATGTATACCGCTCTCCACTCTGGCGTATAGGATTTTCTTTCCATTCCCCTTCCAACCTCCCCTTCCCCTCGCCCTACCCTCTTCCCCTAGACAGACTCTGATTTCACTACATTTCATTAGGTTGTTCTACGACTCATATCCTTGCTATTGTCTTCGCTTTTCTTGGCCCTTATCTGTTGGCCCAGTCCAAGATTGGCTGTGAGAACGTGTTGGGCGAGTTTTCGTCACCGACTGATGTTGAAACCATTGAAATCAAGTATGCCGTTCTGGATCGATCCGAAATGAAGCCAACTTCGCAGTTAACAAGAAACCAAGATCCCAAGGTTGGTATTGACTATTCCTTGTCAGTTACAGAAGTAGAGAATAACTGGTGTGGCAAACCGACGCAATGGCTAAGCATAAACGCAGTGTGGGGCCATATTGGTGGATTTTAGTCTTGTCAAATGTAGTAAACGGCATTTATGTGCCTCTGCCTTTCCTTACATTCCATACGTAATTATTGCCTTTCACCCCCCCCCCCCCCCCCGCTTGATGATCTACGAAGCCCGGGACCGTCTAGACTTACATCCGGGAAGGAAATAAAAAGTTTGTCCGTTTGTTTCCCTTTTAAATTTACTTCATGAAGTTTAGGGAATGAACGATGAAGAACAGAAAGGCGTGTTGCGACTTTGAACTTTTCTGACTGAGGTGACTACCCAATACAAGGGCTATAGGAAGTTCGGTAGCTTCTCACACAGTTTCGGGCTGTGAGTATGGGCCATCTTGAGAATCATGGTCCTAAACCTTAGTAATTACAACCTACACTTGTCTCTGGCATATATTCGCAATATCAGGTTTCCTGAATAATATGTAAGTGATAACGAAAGAGATACAGAAGTATCGAATTTGTCCACCTATTTTTTGTATTGTCATGGCGTTTCGAAAGGGTTCCAAGCAGGATTTTACAATCATATCAATCGTTACCCCCCCCCCCTCCCCCCCCACCATCTCTTACTTTCTCTGCAACAGTTTGTATTTCAGTTGACCATTGAAGATGATTGCCGAGCTTTTCGTGTTACGTCATGGATTCTCCCTATCGTGTACATCAGTCAAACTACGCTACTTTGATTTGAAACCTGCATTCGTTTATTCCCCCCCCCCCCCCCAGGATGAAGAAGAGCGTGAGCATACGTCATATGCGACAATCTGCAACCCCACCTATGATGTTGTAGGAGATCCCCCATCAGTGAGTCCATTGCTTGATGATAAGATCACATACTGTTGGATCTACAAGTAAATGTAGCAAATAGTTCTTCTTAACGTAGCTATGCAAAAGACATTGCGTCTGGTGCTAGCCAGGGTCCACACAGCTCTATTTTTGTAATTGTTTATTGCATCGTCGGCCATGCCCGGCGCTATCCCGCACATTTCCCGTACCATACCATTTAACTTATTCAAAAAGGGCTTTCAAGTGAAAGATGATAACGTGAAGCAACTTGGAGGAAGGTATGTGAGCGAACAAAATTACATAACCCCCCAAGAGTGTGCAACTCCCACATACTCTGCTGTCTTATCAAAATTTCAAGTTGTTGAAGTCATTATTTATGATGCAATGCTACTTGCACTAGTGATGTACAAGATTTGTACGGGTGTCAACGCATCACAGATTTGTCTTTGTAATAATTTGTACCGGATCAGATGGGTTTTGGTTCACCAAAGGTTCCGGATTCTTCTGATAATCCGTGTAAAGTGCGCATTGCATCATTAAAATGACGTCAACTTGAAATTCTGTTGGGACAACACCTAGTCGTAGTACTAGTATTTATTACAAGTTTTTGACAAGGGAGTCCAAACAGGCATAGCCTTGTTACAGGGAATCCTAGGTGAACCTTTGTGAGGTGAGCAAAAGTACCAGCAAATTGTGCCTGACGACAGTTTGGAGGAAGAGTGCTCCACCGACCTGCCGCCAGAAACCCATATTCGAGTTACACACTCTTGGGAGTTATGTACTCTTGGTGCGAAGTGTATTGGGGGTGTTATGAAACCACAAACTCTCAAGAGTGACATTGTGTTCGTTTCAATGCAGTTGTATCTCGACTCCGCTGTACCGCTGAAGTTGACGACGTGGTATACGCTACATGCGCTATGTGCGATTTGCTACGTGTGCTGTAGTTGTATGTTGTATGTGTATGCTTTCTCATATACACTGTCATTTTCACGCTATAACTACCTGAACATGGTGGTTTAAGTGTTAGTTATTGCTCGATCAAGCGAAATATATCGTTGACGAGAAAATAGTTCACCTCGTGCCGTGTGGTCGTTCGTCCCTGACACTTTAAGAGAATCAGAAGGGTTCAGAATATTTGGCGACTACGCCAGGATCGAAGTGAGCATGGCAGAGGGACTGCATAATTTGGAAGCGAGCTTTATCGACAACGGAAGTCGGCATGGATTTGAAGGCGATAGGCTGATGGAATACGCGGAGAAGAAGCTCCAACAGTGCGAGGAGCTTGAAGAGCGCCGTGCCAAACGGCAAGAGGCTGCGCTAGGAATTGAGTTTAACGAAGAGCTCAAGAAGATGAACGAGCGCATCGCCAGGGTGTATGAAGGTAATGGTGACGCCGCGCGTGTGAGGTTGATGGGAGGTACAGTGGAAGCTACCAGTCACAGTGGTGGGCGTAGGTCTTTAATGCAAGTCCCGCATACGACGGAAGGCAGCCATTGGAGCATTATCTCGACCTGTTCAAGGACATCTTTGCCAAGAACGAGCTCGACGAAAACGAATGGCTGCTGCGATTGCGTATCGCGCTAACGGGTAGCACGGTAAAAAGGAACTTTTCACTCACAAAGTGACTGTTCAGTACATGGGGTAGTGGTCTACCAGAGCAATCACACTCACCACCGTGATGGTTTTCCAGAAATGGGTAGAAGCAAAAAACCACACTCGCAGCCACATAATATAAATAAATAGCCGAAAAACATCTAAATCCATCAAAGAACCGCCAGCAAGCGGGAGAAAAGGCCGTGAAATCAAATGAAACAGCATGGCCAGTGGTGAGCATGGGTGACTGGGCAGCAGGGGAGCGCCTGAAAAACAATGACTCCCTACATTCCTAGCCGCGACTGCTCAATCGGGCTAGAGGAAAAACACGCCTTTCGGCCAAAAAACCTTTCTATTTCATTAATTCCCGCCCCGCTACCAGTCAGACCCAAGAATAGAGATAGCAAGAAATGGTATGTAATAACCGGTGTATGTCATAATCATAAGCCACACACACACGCATAGATTGTCGAGAAGAACAGCGGACGACTCGCATGAAAACAGGGTGGGTGGGTGGGCAACTTCAACTACCACGAAGAAAAACAAAGACCACGATGGCAGGTTCAACGGAGTTGCGCGGAACAAGAGCAAATGCACGAAAATATTTATGAGTGAAAAATACGTTTTTTGCACTCTTTCGCTACGCTCAGCCGTGAAAAAACAAAACTGTATTGGCTGCAGTGCCTATGCGGAAGCAAAGCGAGATTTGCTTGCCTCGCTCGGAAGGACGCCAGACAAGGCGTGGAAGACTTCACTTACAGACAAGTAGCGGTCAGAGGAGTATTTGAAGCCAGTTAAGGCAAAATATTCAGTACAAGATTTTGGCCGGAAACAATTGACCACACCGTCCGTAAGTTGCGTTTTGCCGACGGTACCAACGTGACTGAACGTGGTGGTGATAATCCCTCGTCATAATCAAGTTGTCTATGTCTTCCCTCAGCTTGGATGCTACCCCATTTTCAGATCAGAATCCGACCTATCGCTGAAAACTGTGAATTGTCGCTGTCTCGTCAATAAATTTGCTGAACTTTCGATTGTTCTGGAGAGCAATAAGCCGAGTGTTGTTTGCCTCGCGGTGACCTGGCTGTGCCCATCTGTTTCCGTGCATGTACTGGGCTATGCCTGTTTAAGAAAAGACAGACCAGCACACGACAACTGTAATGCACACGCTTTCACTAGAGGATATGGTGGTCTCGCCGTGCTTGTCCGGACTGATGCTTTTCAACATGATCACACAGACCCGACCTGTAGCGTCAGGCCTGTGAATCTGCCTGGGTGGAAGTTAAGTCTCAATGCCCCTAACCATATTCTTGTATGTTGCATGTATCTACCCCCTTCCCAAACGGTGGAACAGTTGTCCTTCTTCTCGGATATGCTGGTCGTCGCTATACAGTCCTCTTGCTATGACGAGTGTGACGGACGATTTTAATGCAAAACACAATGATTGGTGCTCTTCTGACTCCATCTCTACAGTCGGTACCAACATACCAACGCACCAACATACTGACAGTTTTTCCATGTTTGGGCTCCAACAACTATTGAATTTCCCAACATACACTCCATCAGTGGGTGCCAACTCGTGTCTTGACTTGATGGTAACCAACAAACCCCGACATGTCCGCTCAGTTGATCATGCAGCACCTCTTCGCACATCTGATCACCTGCAGGTTGTTTGTACGCTCAACCATGCATCGTGCTCGACACCACAAGCGACGGCTTAATCGTCACTCAATCCCCGGGCTCAGTACAGGTTCAAACAAATGCCTACAAGTGTCTGTCAGGTTGTGAGTGAAGACTTGTCTAGATCGGACTGGTCATTACCTCATCGGCATTCCGATGTTGATGATGCCATTGTCCTGTTTGATGCTTTACTACAGCCAGCAATCCCTCGTCATCTGTTGCCTTACAAAGTTATTCCGCGGACCGGACACTACAGTAGGCCTCATCCTACTATGCGGAGTGCATCCGACCCTGGATCACTGCAGACCTCAAGTGCGCTGTGAAACTGAAGCGAGATTTGTATATCATTTATAGAAAATATCAAACCAGTGAAAACTTCATTGCCTTTAAGCGCAAGCGTAACGAAGTGAAATGTTTGTCACGTACCCTCCATCGTCAGTATGTACAGTCGGTTCATGCCACCCTGTCCTCCCATGATCGCCCTAGTCTCCATCATTTTCTCCGCCATCTCCGTAAGAATTGTAGTCGGTAGCCGATCCGATCAATGACAGCTGCAGACGGCACCGCAGCAACAGATCCTGCAGACTTAGCAGACATATTATTGTTATAATATAGCTGGCTGGTGACTAACGCATTTGGCCTCACCAACAAGCTGGGAGAGCTGCAGCAAGCACTGCTCAACGATAACGTCGACATAGCGGTTATCACAGCAGCGAAGTTTTCGGCCCAGACCGTAGCCTCTGAGACGATATTTCCAGGATACTCGCCTCCCATCCGATGTGACCGGGATGCATTTGGTGGCGGCATTGCTGTATGGATGAAGTGGTGCACCGCGACCAGATTCCCACTGATCACCTCGAAGTCCTCTGGCTCGCAGTCAGTCTTTCTACGCAACAATCTGTTGTGATCGGTGCCTTGTATCGGCCTGTATCCTGTGCGGACAACGACACCTGTCTGATTGAGTATCTTGGACCTGTACTAGACGTGGCCCGCACTCACGGCACTCACATAGTGCTAGCTGGGGATTTTAATGTCCACAACTGGACTTGGCTCTGCAGCAGCAAACAAACTGTAGCTGGAGAGGCCTTGGAAGAATTGTGTGTTGAGCATCACCTCCACCAGCATGTCTTGCAGCCGACTAGGGTCTGAACCGCATCCTTCACAACATGCCCGTTCCTATCGACAGCACTGTCACAGCGCCACTTGGTCGCTCAGACCATGGGGTTGTTCTTGCCGACTTTTATCTCGCCCCTGATGCTGAGCAAGCTACCTCCAGGCCTGTTTGTCGCTACAATCAGGCAGACTGTCTGGGCGCCTGCGGGCCATCTATCGCACTACTGACTGGTCCACCATTGTGACTGACGACCCTGAAGAGTCCTGCAGGAAACTAAGTGACGTCATATCAAGCGGCATGCAGAAATTTATCCCTGCCAAGCAGCTCATTACCCGCCCAGCAGACCCCAAATGGTGGATTCCTCAGTGCACCACAGCATTGAACACTTAAGCCAAGGCTTGGAAGGCCTGGAGACGAAATATTTTAAGCGAAGCCAACAAGGCTTGCTTCATGCGCCCAGTAGGAGATGCTATCCTCGCGAATGTGCAAGCGAGCACATTCTGGGAACTGAGAGTTCGTCGGAAACTGTCACGCAGAGGCCTGAGAGAAAAGCAATGGTGGTCGGTGCTCAAATCTGCTGCTGGCGCCAGTCATGGCTCGTCTATACCATGCTTGATGGATGACGCTGGTCACTAACTCCGTATGAATGCTGCCAAAGCGAACTGCCTTGGTCGCTACTTCGCCAATAAATGTAGCCTTGGAGATGATGACTTGGGCTCGGGGGATCCCCCTTGAGTCAAAAATGTGCAACACTCAGCACAAAACTGACTGATGATGTTATGACATTCAACGACCTGATACTTAGCTGCATCACGTCCAGAACACGCAAACCAGCAACCTTCCAATTTGGAAGGTTCTAAGTTATGAAGTAAGGTAAGATAGGGGAAGGTGAGCGCACTCTAGACAAAAACAAGCTACATATCACAACGAACAAAGAACGTTATCTTTACGGCGAAACGTACATGTACGTCGTGTGACACTACTTGGTATTGCCGTCTTTTAGTCCATCACAAGTTCCATTCCACATGTACATGTAGTATGTTCATGTAGTATTGATTGTCATGACATCATCAGTCAATTTTGTGCTAATTGTTGCACATTTTGACTCAACAATATTCTAATTATAACCGGTCGTTTGTTTTGGACAAAACGGATAACTTGTAAACTATTGGTCCTCTTTCTGAAATTTAATCCTTGGCGCTCCCGCCGAGTATTTTTGTAACATTTTGTCCTCCTTTTTTCACCATAATTTAATTGGTTCACCATCCGAGTTATTCGTATGTATTTGCAGGTATAATTATAAACGGAAATTATCGTGCCAGTTCCCGAAGGGAACTCACGACAGCCGCTAACACCCGGCAATAAATATTATCGAAGAACATTCTCGAATACCTGGGTGATACACGAATTTTGATAGTGCTCACTTCTGTTAATCGTTTTTCTTTGTAATTTTCCATTCATTTTCTGCTTTAATTCATATTTGCTTTGTTTTCTTAGCTTACTATTGCCGTGGCTGGCTCAACGCCCTTATCTCAGGGGATTCTGTCCCTGCATTAGCTATGCTTGTCACATGCTATGAGATTGTGTCTAATAATAATAATAAACCCTAGCGACAGCTGCAGTGCCTAACGATGGGGGTTAGTGGATAAGTCCCACAACCACTGGCACAAGTGCCGAGAAAGTTCCCATTATCCGCATCTATGTACCCCTTGTGCCTTGCCGTAAGTTCCCAGTTGACTGTGGGGTGCAGCACGGCTGAAAAAAAAACCACTCCATTGCAGGACTTGAACCAGGTGCCTCTCGTACCTTAATCATGGTCTTTGATCAACCCACTGTGCCTGCCTGGTTTCTGCATGTATTACCTCATAACTAGTCTGATCGTAGGGGCACCATGTGAGTCAAAAGGCAGCCCAAATGAACAGCAGAAAAAAAAATAATAATGCAAAACTATATAACTAAGCTGATACACAAGCTGCCTGTAAACACCACTATGGGCAGCGACGAGAGAAAGAGAATTGTACTATTCATTAGTCCAATCTTTATTGTTGGTGATTCAATTGTCAAGAGGCCGACCACGGGGTCTTGATACAGGGAACATTCCTTCCAAGAAATGGCGGGGCTAGCCATCGTGATGCCTTGCCCCATGTCCAACCACTTCAACATGATTCTCTTAACGGTAGAATCAAGGCATGGGAACGGACCAATAGTGGTTTTGACTTCCTACAATCCTTATTCATTAGTGCGATGCAATGATGGTGGTATTTCATGTGAAGCAGCTTACGCACATACCTTATTTAACTCAAAGCTCTAAGTTCATGCATTATGCAGATACCTTGTTAGAGGTCATCCGTAAATATATGGCCTCATTTCCTCTGTGTTGCGCTGACGAGTCCACAAAGGACGAAACAGCATGCTGTCCGCAGATTGAGTATTTCGCTCCTGCTCTTGTAGCAGTTGAGCACTCTTGCGTGGGGTAGTGCCTTTGCTGTTTGCAGCATGCTGTTTCGTTCTTTTTGAACTCATCAGCGCAGCACGGAGAAATGAGGCCGAACCTGATAGCAATGGAAATAAAAAAATTTGCTGATGAGTTCAAAAAGAACGAAACAGCATGCTGTCCGCAGATTGAGTATTTCGCTCCTGCTCTTGTAGCATTTGAGCACTCTTGCGTGGGGTAGTGCCTTTGCTGTTTGCGTTATGCAGAGCTCACTGACTTGTCAGTTTCAGCACTCTGGCAAGGTACGTTCGGGCCTGATTGGAAATTTATATATATATATATATATACTAGAAACGAAAACGAGGGGAAAAATATCGATGTACATTTTGCAAGCATGAGCATGACCAAACAAAGACCAAAAATTGATATCGAAACTATGTACAATTTGAATGTGTTCGTTTCTCATTGAGGGGGAGGTGGGGTGAAGAGAAACGACTAGTTTTCGTTTCTAAATAAATATCGGTATTTAAGGAAGGCCCCTTACTGCAGTCACACATTCAAACAGAAAGAAAGGAGCTGCTATTGCGATTCTGTTTCTCCTGATGATGTCAACTCTATGATCAATGTGTTGCAGAACACTGCTGACGGAATCAAAGCCGAACACATCTATGATGCCCCCGACAACCATGGTGTTGTTCGTGACAGAAAGCAAGGTTGACGTATCACTGCTTTCGACATGATTTCGAGTCACGACCATTAGTTCATTTCCACCAGTGATCAACTCACTTGCATGTTTCAATCTCCCCCTACCACCACTCTCTTTTTTCTCTTTATTTTCTCCCCAACCATCCTTCCCTGTAACGTAATGACATCTTTGCTGCCTTACAATTGAGCATTTGTGCTGGTTTGGATTAGCGAATTCAAATAAAGTATAAAAACCGACAAACAAACGACTATTGCCCCCCCCCCACCACGCCCCAATCACTGAATGACGTGTATATCTACCCCGTGCAGCGGTATACATTTTATGGAGTAAACCTCTATTCATGTCTTATTATAGAATGATGAAGTTTTTCTGGAATGGCAAATCAAAGCGAGTTGTTGTACCTGTAATCAGTTCTTTCCCACAACCAAGTAAAGATTCAAAAACACTGTTTAGGTGCCTTGCATTGTTCATACTTAGATTGAATATAAACTTTTCATTATTGCTAGTTTTGTTTATCAGTTTATCAGTTCACAGCCTTAACCAGAAGATAGGTCTAGCTTTTGTCAGGGTGTGTGACATGATGCTTGCAGATGATCATGTTTTAGCAGCACAGGATTCTCTTTGTTCTCTAATGATAGAAACCGATCTGTTCCCGAAGCTTAGCCATACACATGTCAGGTACTTGGCCTGGCAGTTTGTTGTAACCTCTTTTTTGGTGAGCTTTCTCTGTATGCTACTGAGGCTCGGACTGTTGATCGGATTAGCATGTTTGCACTGCTCTGGACCACATGCCATGTCGCTTTGTTCAAACTCTCGTGCTTTATAATACTGTAGAAGAAATACTGCCTCTCGCAGCTTCATTACACATAAAACAATTGCTGATAAGCATCTCACCTAAACTCAACCCAGTAGTTATTTCAGCTCATCATTTTCGATTTGTTTTCGCTATATAGTCTGTTTACAAATTATTAATAGCCTTCGGTCAAACTGAAACAAGCACTGCATTCAAACACGTATTGCAGCAGTTGTTTCGGCGCCTCAGGTATGTTGGGTATATCTATGCCGTCTTTGGACAAGCGTTTCGGATATAGCAACTTTAATACCGCAAACAACTGGACAGACTGTGAGGTACCCAGTATTTATGGAGGATGCAAAACTAAACTACATGTTACACACGGGTGGAGAACCAATGATTAATTAATATGTTAATGGACGTTACAGCGTAACTTGTACTTCCTTGGTCCTCATTTTCTTCTTATAAAGTACATGTTAGAGAGACAAAATGTGAGGTACTAAAGTAAAAGAAGGAAAAGTTCGGAACGGTTTTCCAGCTACGTTCATCAGTGAACGTACATTGGGTGAAATACGAAATGAACAATATAATAATTATTATGGAACGGCAATCAATAATTAAGATAAATTGTGCACTCATAACAGTAGCAAAAATTAAGAAAGTCAAGTTCCATAACGTTTTCTTGTGACTGTCATCAGTGGAACGCCGTCACATAAAAATGTAATAAGTAAAACACACACTTATATACATGTAGCTAATACGGTTTCAGGTAGAAATACAGCAGCTTACAAGTACAAAAAGCGAAGTTTGCACCTTTGCAATGTGTGAATATAGTGTATGTGAGAAAGGTAGTGGCTGATGAATGTGATACTGTGTGAATGAATATAATGGTGCGTGTGTATTACTTGAAGAGCGTGAGCGATACAACGTTTTCTTTCTGTTTACATAGCACAGGGTCACGCACGCACCATTACATCCATTCACACATTATCACATTCATCTGCCACTACCTTTCTCACATACAGTATATTCACACATTGCAAAGGTGCAAACTTCGCTTTTTGTACTTGTAAGCTGCTGTATGTCTACCTGAAACCATATTAGCTACATGTATATAAGTGTGTGTTTTAGTTATTACATTTTCATGTGACGGCGTTCCACTGATGACAGTCACAAGAAAACGTTATGGAACTTGACTTTCTTCATTTTTGCTGTTGTTATGAGTGCACAATTTATCTGATTTATTGCCATTTTACGACTACTGTCTCCTCGTCGATTGTTTGAACGGCAATCAGTTCGAAACAAAAGAAAGGCACTTAATTGTACATCGATGAGAATGACGTAACTCTAGAACAGCCAGCAGAGTCATGGATTCAGCTCAAATATCGTGATTTTTTCTAATTTTTCTTCCTCTTTCGTCTGCCATATACCTTTGATTTATTATTGATAAGGTACCACAACGGCAAGTATGTATACCTATGTATACCAATATTTCAAGTAGATGAAAATGATTTGAAGAGATTTCGAAGGCGTCGGTCATATTGAGTTGTTTTGTTTGCCGACCAGACAAAGGAAAGTTACATGGGCAGGAAAACTACGGAACACAGGACGGAATATACGATCAACATGCAACCGTCGAGCGAGATAATAATATAATAATCTTTATTTCAGGATTACCCAAAGGCTAACACCTATCTGAGGGATCTCCTATTTGTGTATGTACTAGTAACATAGTTAAGGATGCGAGAATCGCGAATTTGGAACGGGTGAACATTTAGATGTTCATTTTAGGCCTTGTTCGCCAACTATGACAGTTTGCTCCAGTTTCGTAATTCGAAAATGGGCAAAATAAAAATCAGACTACAATACCTTATCACTCTCCTCCCTCCCCCCACACCTGCGCAAACCCGAAACGGTGGTGCGCGTATGGGCTGCCTGGTCCCCAGATGCCTCCCTGATCCGCTACGGGGTATATTCCATGATCCAAGCACCTGTATCACTTCGTTGATCCAAAAGCGAATGCAGCATTGCCGGTCGCCCACCGCGCCGGGCTGCCGCCTACGCGACCAGCCTGAGACTGGCCCTGCCGCATTTGGCGCTTCTAAGCGCTGCGATGCGGTAGACAGGTCACGGGGCTGCCAATCACGTGACTGGCTTTAGGACAGTTTCATACTGCACGGCAAGGCGGCAAGCTCAGATCGCACGCGGCAGCGGCGTAAGCTGGGCGCCGTGAGTGCTGGTGATGACTATAGTTTCCTCCTTCCTCCTCCGGACACTTCCATTTACTACCGGCAGCGGCGTAAGCTGGGCGCCGTGAGGGCTGGTGATGACTATAGTTTCCTCCTTCCTCCTCCGGACACTTCCATTAAGTGCCTTCCAAGTTAGAGGTATATTGGAGTGCGCATCCAGGATGTGCTAGGGCTGTTAGGCCGCGGTCACACCGAGCTCGATTCAGCCGTTCAGCCGAAACAAGCGCTTGTGTACGTCACTATTACCATGGAAATGGCTGAAAAATGTCCTACAAGCGACTTTCAGCCGTGGCTGACTCTCATCCGTTTTTTTCCGGCTTGTTTCAGCCACAGCTTGTACAAGCGGCTGAAAGCCGAAATTCAAAAAATAATTTGAGTGCGCTTGGAGCTCCGGAGCACACCATGTAGCTAGTTGACATGATGAACTGATATTGATGTTCTTTCTTGTGTCCGTGGAACCGTGCTATCCCTGTGCCTTTGGTTTTGACCGTGAGTCTGTCTACCCCAACTACACTGTATTCAGTTTGATTTGGATATTGTCCGACGACCATGGATTTCTGCCGCTGTGCCTCTAGACTGCTGCGTAGATTGTTGGAGCTGTGGTTTGAGGCCAAGACAAGGCACCACACTCACGACCGAATTCATGAAGAAATCCGGGTACGAAGAAGAGAGTGGATTGCAACCGAGTTCAATAACGCCAAGTGGCGGGGCAGAAAGCTCGACATCAGGAAACACCACCTGAACCATCGCGTCCATGCACACCGAACAAATAAAAAGAGCACGACTTCGCAATTCAGAATCCGGGCTTCCTTTCCTTCTTCATCAAAACTGAACACTAGAACAAGTACAGTTTTAGATCGCGACCGTTCTGCTCTCCAGTTTCTTGCAAACATTGGTGTGTTTCGAGATATTCAATATTTGGCGGGTAAGAAAAACAAGCCATTCAAGCTTTGCACTCAAGGTCTGGTGTGACCGCGTCACAGGGATCACGCAAGCCAGCTGAGCGCCAGCGATAGCAAGCCCAAAGTGGCTTGTTTTGGTGTGACCGGGGCCTTAGCCAGTTAGTTGTAGGACGTCAGTACCGTCGGTCAGTGTCGTTCAGTGTTATCGCATGAGCTGATTGTTTAGTAACTGGTGGTGTTAGTGGACATTATAGTGTAAATTGTAGTTCTTTCGTCCGCTTTTCTTTTCTATTAATTAATCACTGTCTCTCCACAGGAGTACATTCTTGCGCACCTGATGAGCCGTCCTTATCTATACGGCGAAACGATCGTCGTGTGAAACTGCTACTTGTTACCGCTCCTTATTGTCCATCTAAATTGTTATAGTCGAAGTACGGTGCTGTTTTACGGAGGCGTTATGTTTTGCAAGATTCTTGTTCGCATAACTTCCCCTTTTATTGCTCTTCGCGTCTTCTGAGCAACACACGTGGTGTAGAATGTTGCTTTGCGTCCTTGAATCGTGGTTTGACCATATTGTCGTCATTGACATGAATGTACATCCTTACATTCGTTTTACCGCTTTCTTATCTCTGATATTGCTGACCCACTCAAGTTGGGTGGTGTGTTGCTTTGATGCTTCGAATTGTAGCTAGACCGCATTGCCGCTTTGTCAACTGGTCTCGTCATCGTCCTGTAATAGTCGGCATTCTTTGTTGCCGTGGGACTAAGGTTGTGCACATTTAGGATGAGCTCATCTTCTCCCCCCCCCCCCCCCTTGGTCGTACGCAACATTGTACCTTCCAAGTTGGAAGGCTGTTGGAGTGCACACTGAAGATGTGTTAGAGCTAGGTATTACATTGTTGAATGTCTCAGTGGCTTATCAGTTTTATGCCCTGTTATCGAACTTTCTGACTGCTTGTTATCATATTACCGTCGTGGATAGTTCTTTCAAAGCTCGTTTCCATGCGTTTTCTTCTTCCATTTAATATTTAATACTGGTGAAGCTCGGCTGGACTCGTTCCACCGCAGGCAGCTCCGACAAAATTAATCAATAACAGCGCCCTCTACAAGCGATGCGCAGCGCACTCGATAAGCCGGATCAAAAAAGGAGGGTGGAGGCTGTTCGTGCACGTACTACGTCTGCCAGACGGATGTCCACCTGTTATGGAAATGGAGAGTTATTTCCATGTGCAAGTTTCTCTTCGGGGTGGCAGACCACGCACAAACCGCCGGCTGTCCTGTCGCGGGACCTCCGTGGTGCAGGAAGGCAAGGCAACATAGGCCTGTCTGGCCTGCACTCCCTCAGAGACTTGTCGCGGGACCGCGGACAGTGGGCTGCCTTGTGCTGCGCCGTCTGCGGCTAACGTCGGGGATCTCATAGTGCTGGGAACTCTGTCGTTTTCTTCCTGCACAGCGCAACAATCTTTCGTCCTGGCATTTGTTTTTCTGTCTAGAACTGTCGTTTGTAGCAGTAATCTGCCTCTCGTGCCTTGATGTTGTGCCTCATGCTAGCTATTGGTCTGTTTTCTTGACCCTTGTCGTGTTGTATATTGTTGGCTGTCCTCTGCCCGTATCCATTCAGCATAATTGTGCGAATCTATGAGCATCTATTATGTAGAAATTGCTGACATTGACGCGGAAACGCGATTAATATTAATAATAATAATACAGCTCACAGACGCGTGTTGAATATTTTGGACCCGCTCTTAGCACTCCCTTCATGTTTCCTATAATATCGATTTCAGAAAACGTCACAGTGGTGCGATGGAACTGGTGCAATGGAACCGCGCGGTGCGAGGCAGAATGAGGGTTAAAACTGTACTAGTACGTCAGTAAGTAAGCGCTAGAAGCGACTGCCCCAGAATCCCCTGACACCATCATCAAAGATGTGGTTTGTGCATTTTCTCGAAATGTTCTGCATGTATCCGAGTGAGTGTCTCGCCTCTCAATCAGCAGCCGGGCGATATTATACCGTCTTGCTAAATCCCAGCCTACGGACTTTGTTCAACAGTTTGTAGCACTTATAGTAGAGCCTTTTCAGTAATGCTGAGACATGTTACTTTAGGGTATATGACTGCAATGTACCTGACAGCCGACCACGGTATATTGTTCTATAGTGCTGCTGAGTATTCCAGGACTGCCCAGCCCCACGCTCTCCGTGTGTTGGTATCCGCAATGAGCAACATCAACGTCTCACGGATACTAAGCTAAGTGACTTGCTCGCAACTTGCTAATTCATGTATGCCTCACCATTTTGACACGAGGTCTACAGTTTTTTGGTGTGGAGATCTCACTGCTGGCCTGAGGGCGCACTGAGGGGATATGATATGTCAAACAGTACTGGGCAGCTGTTATTGGCTTTCCTCTAGGAGGTCCACACGCTATTGCTTGGAGCGAGCACGGACGCATCTATCTACGTGCAATGGCTAACTATATTACTGTACAGTACCTGGCTTTACGCTCCCGTGACTACCACCGAGGAACGCAGTGTCATCTGAATTGCGCAACTTGCTGCTACTTTCACCGGTAGATGGCGCAGGTACGCAGGCCATTGAAATATCCGTTGTTTGTTAAGCATGATGCTACAATCGTACCTAAAAAGATTTTTTTAAGAGAACACAAACCTACAAACCATGTAAAAGACAGTAAGTACTGGATAGGCGCTATCCACAATGCCAGTTAATAGCTGTGGTGATGAAATACATGGACTCTGCCGACCATGGGTCTCGGCGTCACAGTGCCATGTATGCATATATGCATGAGATATTGCTTGAAGGTGCAATTACTAGAATGGGCATGGGACATTGAGGATGAGCAGCTGCTCCTTCCACACACTACCGGTCAAGGTTCCTGTTCAGGGCAGACTTGCCTTTGACTAGTCTAGCTTTCATAGTTACTGTGCTCCACGTCACAGTACGTGCGCATAGCAGCCGACCTGTTCCATGGTCTTTTCCGTGTGCTCCAGTGACAGCCCAGGACATCTGCAGGTTGAGTCGTGCACGCCTGGTTCTCCGCAGATAGTAATGTATGCTGAATAAACCACAAGACTTAGGGTACGCGGCCTAAAAAGAAGAAATAGAGTACAAGTAGAAGTGCAGGGCTAATACTTTGTACGGAATCAAACCAACATTCGCACCAACTTTCCATTTATTGTGACAGACGGTGACTTGAACGAATCTAAGCAGACTGGTCTTTTCTGTCAATTCCTGTTGGTACGAAACCAAGCAGGTGATAATAAGCTGTCGAGCAGGAAGCTAACCAGAGATGTACTAACATGTGTACTGTCTACAATTGTACTAGCAGGTGAAAAACCAGGCTGCCCACGGAGTGCAGATAACATTTTCTAGTATCACGGACATCGCGAGAAATCATGCCTACGTGCTTGTAGCTTGAATTCTCTCAAACCCTAATATTTTCAAAGGTACGTGGAGGTTACTTCTCTGAGCATATGGAAGAGTGAACAAGTTTACAGCCGTTTTGAACCGAGATACGTATGGCTACATCACAAATACAGCCGTGGCTGTACGCCGGGATTTTGATCTATCTCAGTTTTTGGTGTGCGCGAGCGAGCGACGCGCAACAAGCCGGTAAGACATTTTCTATTAATATGGAATATGTTTCTATGAATTTGTGGTGAACCTCAGCAATCACCACTTTTTTATTTTAGAGTGATGCTAGTACAAGTGAAAAGCTGTCAACAAAATGGATCTCTTCAGTGCCGCGGTCTATAAGCCTTCATGTGCTTACTATAAGTGTGAAGAAATATTGAAATATGGTTTCTAGCCAAAAATAGGTTTCTAGCCAAAAATAAATGAGTCTTGTGTTTTTATCCATAGTGGTAGAGTGCTTCTGGCCACAAGTCACGGTCGCCTGTTCGAGATCCGTCGTAACAGTCAAGGATACATTTCAGATGACGACTGCACAAAAGCAAAGTGGTAGAGCATCGGTGGCTATTTTTCTTCAGTCCTTTCCGTTTGCATCTTTCACTCAAAAACCGGAATAGTTTCTTCACCCCTTTCCGTTTTTCAACATCCTCGAAATATGGAACACCTTTTTTCGTCGTTGTAATTGTACGTAAAGATTTTTTTAAATCAAAAACTGGGAAAGGGCATATTTGAAGAGTGTCTGAATTGAATGGGGAGGTGGCATGAGCGCGAGTTTGTTCTCGCACCCATTTAGCCACCTTATATCAAAAGAGCAGGTCTAAGAAAACCAGAAAAGCTGGGCTTGGCGTTCTTTCTGATATCACTCGAAGTTTGCTGGAACTTCTCCTTTGAGGTCTAGAACACCCATGCAAAGAGTTTCTTTGAACAATTTGTATTGACACGGAGACCTTGGAACTTGAGACCACCTCGAAATGGACCCAAAGTATAATTGAATCTTGGGATCAAAAGGGAGCGCTGGTGCAGCGTACACAATGGAACAAAGAACAAACGACCACCTAGCCAAACTTACCTTACCTCATTAGTCTTCACATCATAACTACATTGAACCATCGCTATAGGCAATCGCCATCATCTCCAAATATCACTAATTTGCATCTATAACATGGCCGATTTTCAACGGCCATAACGGGAAACATTTGCAGCGTCCATTTTTCTGAACCATGCACTGCAATAATAATAATAATAATAATGTGGATTACTTTATTATAATATATATATGTAGAAGAGAAAAGGACATATGGATGCGAGTTAAGAGTAACTCTCCATCACTGTAACATGATACCATATACAGTCAGAAAGTGCAATAACTAGGCACAAAACTGACAGAGTACTGAGACATTCGACGTCCTGACACCTAGCTTCAACACATCTCCGTAGCGCTAACCGACAGCCTTCCAACATCCGAGTTTCAAATTGCACACCTGATGAGCCGTCACGAACCATACTGCGAAACGTACGTCGTGTGAAACAACTTGTTTTGTAGTCAACTAGTCCATCACAATGTCATGCATGAGGAGTACTGTAGGAGTTTGACTTTCGGCTTGTACAATTCGTTTTCGCAAAGCTTCCCCTTCTTTACTTATCTTTGATATTTATGACCCACCCAAGTTGGGTGGTGTGCTGCTTTGCTGCTTCGAATTGTAGTTAGACCGCTTTGTCAAATATCGTACTCGTCTCGTCATCGTCCAGTAACAATCGACATTCTTTGTTCCGTTGGGACTGTAGCTTTTGCTCGTTTTCGTTGCGCTTGCCTTCCCCTCTATGGTCTTTCCATAACCTTGAACCTTCCAAGTTGGAAGGCTGTCGGTTAGCGCTACGGAGATGTGTTGAAGCTAGGTGTCCGGACGTCGAATGTCTCAGTACTCTGTCAGTTTTGTGCCTAGTTATTGCACTTTCTGACTGTATATAGTATCATGTTACAGTGATGGAGAGTTACTCTTAACTCGCATCCATATGTCCTTTTCTCTTCTACATTTATTTATGGCTCAACATCCGAGTTTATAATATATATAATAATAATAATACGAAGTCTGAAGAAAATGTTGAACGGCCTCTGCTGGGATGACGACTACACCATAGCTCAGTGGTTAGAGCATCGCTGGCTACAAGCGAGGGTCCCTGGTTCGAGTCCTGGTGGTGACAGTCAATTTTTTCTTCAGACTTTTCCCGTTTGTCTCTTTCCCTCAAACCAGTTAATAATAATAATAATAATAATAATATTAACTGGTTTGAGGGAAAGAGACTAACGGGAAAAGTCTGAAGAAAAAATTGACTGTCACCACCAGGACTCGAACCAGGGACCTTCGCTTGTAGCCAGCGATGCTCTAACCACTGAGCTATGGTGTAGTCGTCATCCCAGCAGAGGCCGTTCAACATTTTCTTCAGACTTCGTAACTCACACTTCCTATGAATCCACACAGGCGGGTGGGACGCAGCCCTCACTGTAACCCACACACTTCACGTACAAACTAGCACGCGGGGAGCCCCAAGTCATAAAATATTAACTGGTTTGAGGGAAAGAGACAAACGGGAAAAGTCTGAAGAAAAAATTGACTGTCACCACCAGGACTCGAACCAGGGACCTTCGCTTGTTGCCAGCGATGCTCTAACCACTGAGCTATGGTGTAGTCGTCATCCCAGCAGAGGCCGTTCAACAATAATAATAATAATAATTTTAATATGGCAATAAGTAGGACGAGCTGAAGCGACATGTGGACTACTTTATTAACAATGTAAGCGATGGAGACGAGGCAAGAAACAATCTAAAGGGTAAGGAAAATACATGTAAGAAGAAAAAGGGCAATGGAAAAAAAGATGATTCGAACAAGTTTTCGTACAACACTCTTCAGGAATCACCGTTGTACTAAAGAACAAAATGAGAACAAAGGAAATAATATAGCAATCAAGGTAGGGTGACACGTTACAATGACAGCACTGGAATATCGAGGTGCGATTTTTCACAAAAGCGTGCACAACACAAGGGTATACAAGTAAGAACTAAGCGTGACTAGTGTGTATCAGCAACAAAAACAAAAAAGTTAGAACGAATGATAATAATAACAATAATAAACAAGAAGTTTACAAAACACATTTAGGCACAAGTGGCAACAACGTTGCCACACTACACAAAAGAAAATTATTTGAACAATTTTAGGGTAATAACACTATCTTTCTGGACACACAAATTCGGCTTATGAATGCGCTGACAAACATTGTGTTCTGCACGCTTTTGTGAGAAATCGCACCTCGATATTCCAGTGCACAGCTCAGTGGTTAGAGCAACGCTAGCTACAAGCGAGGGTCCCTGGTTCGAGTCCTGGTGGTGACAGTCAATTTTTTCTTCAGACTTTTCCCGTTTGTCTCTTTCCCTCAAACTAGTGAATAATAATAGTAATAATAATAATAATAATAATAATAATAAATGAAATAATAATTACACTCTAATAAGTTACATTGGTTTGCGAATGCCCATGGTTCGAACTATTAGTTGAAGCACCTATTTGCAGAAAATAATAATATTATGATCGTAATATTAATCACTTGCCAATAAAAAAGACAACAATAAAACCATCAGCCCCCATTCACCGGTTTTGACGGTGCTTCACTGATGTTGAATGAGAAGAATTATATTGCTGCCTTCAGTGCTATTGTGTCGCTGAAGGGCTCGATTTCAGATTTGATGACGGTTACTTTTCAACGGATTTTGTTTTCTGATTTAGCTCTCTTGCTATTACTGTACCTGCTTGTGTTAAGTCTCATTCTCGCAGATTAGTTGTATAATAGATTGTACATGCATCATTGTAGATTTGCTGTTCACAGTATTTCTCTCTTTTTTCTTTCTTTTTTCTCAGTCTTCCTTATTACATTTTCTTCACATACAACAGCAGTACTCCCCATGGTCTTAAATGACCCGGGATGCTGCATAATACAAACACAAAACCAATAAAGCCACCCCCATAATAATATTCCAGTCATCCTCTACTCCCTGTGCATCGTTGAGTGGACAAAGGCAGAGATTGAGGAACTCGACCGACAGACCCGCCAAGCACTGTTTAAAGAACACGCCCGCCACCCCAAGGACTCTGCCGCCAGGGTCCACCTGCCTCGTGACATGGGTGGTCGAGGAATTCTATCATTCCGGGATCTCCTGGATAGAACCCGTGTCCGGGTGGCGCGGTACCTACAAGCCCACCCAAACGTGCCACTGTTGGCTGCTGTTAAGCGCCATCACGACAATGATGTGGCACCGTCAAAATCAGTTACACGTCAAGCCTCCAGACTTCTGGGTGAACTTGACCTACCCGACTTGGAGACTGCCACAAAAGTCATTGTCAAGAAGGCCGTTGCTCTCCGGTGCCTGGCCGTTATCCAAGGTAAGCCTCTCCATGGCCAGTTCTGGAGAAGAGCTTCTGATGCTGGCTTGGACCTGGGCTTGAGTTTTCGCTGGCTGAAATCGCCAACGATCAGGCCTGCGACAGAGGGACTCTTGCTGGCTGCACAGGATCAGGCCATTGCGACCAGGCACTATCAGGTCACGGTCATTGGACGGGGAGACGTTGTGGACATTTGTCGAGTTTGCGGCACTCGCGGAGAAACAGGTGATCACATTGTGGCCTGTTGCCCAGCCCTAGCCAAAACACTGTATATCGAACGGCATGACACGCTCGTCAAGTTGGTGCATTGGGCACTATGCAAGCGGCATGGTCTGGGTCGGCCGGGAAGCAACCCGCTGAAGCATCATCTTGTGCCTGTCACCGAGAATCTTGACATGAAGCTCCTGTGGGAGTTCAATATCCCAACGGATACGCAAGTGCGCCACAACCGTCCAGACCTGGTGTTGCGGTCCAGCACACAGGTGCTGCTGATGGATGTCAGTGTTCCATTGGACCAGAATGTTCCCACAAAAATCGCCGAAAAAATAACAAAGTACGCTCCCCTTTGCCAAGAGCTGCGGCGCATCTGGCATGTGGATGATGTCCGCGTTGTACCCCTGGTTGTTGGGGCGCTTGGTGGACTGACTGGTGTGTCCCTGTCACACTTTGTGTTGGCATTGGCAGGCACTCTGCGCATTGAAAGGGCTCAGCAATGTGCTATCCTGGGCACGCTGAACATTATCAAGTCCGTTCTTGGCATTCGGCATT